TTAGCTACAGTTCAGAAAGAAACACAACATCGATATGAAGTCTTTTAAGATATTCTCTTTTAATGCTTGCAAGCATGACGACTCCTTCTGAGTGTGCCAGACTCTCTTATCGTGAAGCATTTACACGACAACACGACAACAATAAGCACAACTCCCTCCCTCGTGAACACAGACCAAATGTTCTCCTTTCAAATCCTCATGTCTTTTCAAACTACTCATTGGCTCCTTGTTCTTCTCCTAGCTCTTTTTAGCTCCTTGTCTGTCTCCTAAAGCACATCTGTGTGTCCTAGTTTGTCTCCTAGCTCCTAGTCTGTCTCCCAACTCATTTTTTACTCTTAGTTTGTTTCATAAAACTATTTCAAACTCCTAATCTGTGTTTTATAACCACACGTTGGTTCCTTGTCTGTCTCCTCAAGCTCACCTGTGTCTCCCATCATGTCTCCTAGCTCCTAGTCTTTCTCTTAAACTTCATTTTTAAACCTAGTCTGTCTCCTAGCTCCTCATTAGCTCCTTGTTTGTCTCCTAAAGCTCACCTGTGTCTCCTATCATGTCTCCTAGCTCCTAGCCTTTCTCTTAAACCTCATTTTTAAACCTAGTCTGTCTCCTAGCTCCTCATTAGCTCCTTGTCTGTCCCCTAGTTTGTCTCCTAGCTTCACTATAGGTCCTTGTTTGTCTCCTAAAGCTCTTCCTTGTCTCCTAAAGCTTTTCTGTGTGTCCTAGCTTGTCTCCTAGCTCCTCTTAGCCTCCTCATTCATCTCTGTATCCAAGCCCCTCTTTAGTTCCTTATTAGTCTCCTAAAGCGCACCTGTGTCTCCTATCATGTCTCCTAGCTCCTAGTCTTTCTCTGAAACCTCATTTGAAATCTTTAAGCTAATTTGTCTTCTCAAACATAAGGATTTAAAACACTTGAAAGGATACTACTTAGTTAAAAGTTACATTTCATTAGGATGACATTTTATTAAGCTTGTTTTTACTACTTTCTAATACAGTACAATATATCTTTCAGTCACATGTTCAGGTTTTACAGCTGCATCAATACAATCCTGAATAGGTTTCAAGTATCAGACAACCAGTATCAGAGCACCGCTCCAGGGCTACACACATGATGAAAACATTTAATAAAGATGTCCTACCTCCTAATGAATAACAAAGAAAGAAAAATAAGAATGATGGAAAGACAAGTGACATACCAAGGTGTAAACAGTTCTGACTGTATTGGTAGATGCATTACAGCCCATCGCTTGATACATGTATTTTTCTGTAGGCGTAATATTTTATTAAGCTTTGATACGATCTGAGGATCCACTAAAACAAGCTGTGTGTCACTCCATGCTTCTCGCAGTGAGTGTGTTTTCTGAAGAGCGGGGTCTAACAAGTATTACAAGTTGATAAATCAATTTAGTGAAAATTAAGGCTATTAAAAAATATTAAAGGGCATTTTCTAAGGTATTAAATGTTGTAGCTTGTTTTCAATAAGTATATAAATGGTCCAGAGAGGTTGTATTCTACAGTCTGCCTGAATGTAATCATGGCGTAGGTGTGTAGTGTGATTCTGTGTAGTTTATTGATGGCATCCCGTTGGGTTTGACGTCATCTGAACAGGACATCGCGCGCTCACTGCTTGATAGCGCGAAGGTCCGTTTACGCCGGTTGTTAAACAACATCGTTATGGGGAAATGCAAGTCTGCGTCCAAATGGTTGAAGATAAGGAGGAAGGACAATCAATACTGTATATAGTCAATGTGAGGTGAAGTGTGTCGCCAAGGTAACCGGTTAGAACTCCAAGTGGCGATGAGGTCTTAAAATGTTTGGAAAGGTCTTAAAAAAGGTCTTAAAAGGAATTACATTTGACTTCAGGGTTCCTGCATACACCCTGAAGAGTCTATTATATATATTTATATACACTCAGGCTCTCTGACACCGTGAGGGTTCACAGCAGATTCTGTTCGTCCTCTTGTGTCCCCTCCGAGATGAAGGAGGAGCTGCATGTTTATCATTTGAAACGCAGCCACTTATCTTTCTGACAACAGGATGCAATGATGGAGAAATGTTGCCACCTGTAGGCATTTCTAACGTGTCTTTGTTTGTAAAGAGAGAAAGACGAGGCAGTTAAGGAGATGAGGATCAGATTCAGGGAAGGAGCTGACGAGGAGCCATAGAGTACATACTAGGCGATAGATATATATGATAAGGATCAGGAGCTAAACAAGAGCTAGGAGACAAACTAAGTGATTTGAAGGAGTTTTTGGAGATGAATGAGGAGGCTAAGAGGAGCTAGGAAACAAGCTAGGAGACACAGAAAAGCTTTAGGAGACACAAGGATGAGCTTTAGGAGACAAACAAGGACCTATAGTGAAGCTAGGAGACAAACTAGGGGACACAAAATCGTTTTTGGGGACAGACAAGGAGCTAATGAGGAGCTAGGAGACAGACTAGGTTTAAATATGAGCTTTAAGAGAAAGACTAGGAGCTAGGAGACATTATAGGAGACACAGGTGAGTTTTAGGAGACTAATAAGGAACTAAGAGGAGCTTGATTTAGTGCTGCACGATATTGGAAAAAACTGACATTGCGATATTTTCTTCCCCTTCGATATGAAAACATACAGGAATTGAAGAAGAGACAGTTTTTTTTTGTCCGCAAACCATCCTCTCTTGAACTTTAATGCTATATATATGCAATTGGTATTTTTCTAACTATATTTAACCGGATGAGGGATTTTAGTCACGGACGTCTGGATCTCAAGTTATCAGAGCAACGAGCTGAGCTAGCTCGGTTAGCAGCGCCGAACTGGAGGAACACATGAAACCACTTTATTCAGTGTGTTTACCTTTAATCACGGGGGCCGATTGCTTTGGAGATTTGATTGTGTTTGCTGTCACTCACTCAAGTACCCTGACATGAGAGCCGCGCACGTTTTCCTTTTGTATCAAGCAGCAAAATAATTGTAACATGACGTGTTTGAGTTAATTTGCCTACTTAAAGGAGGGGTAGGTCATTTTGGAGAAACCAGCTCGAGTGGCTAGAATTTGAAAATACACAGCCGGAGCAAATCTGCCACTTCCTTCCAGAGCCCCTCCTCCAACACACACGAACGCGCACATGACCAATGAGGGCACGAGATAAGTTAGTGCCCAGATGGGAGGCTGACAGGCAGGTAGGCCATCCAGTTACTTTAGCCGGCTCAGATGATTGGTCGTGCTTTTTACAGCGCCACGGCTTCCACAGATTTTTTGTCAAAGCACTTCAGATATTCATTGCTATCGGGACGTTAAGAGCATTCCATGGAATATAACAAAAAGTGTATCTCGAGCCGGTTTCTCCAACTTACCTACCCCACCTTTAATATCGCACGTCCTAAAAATAAAAAATAAATAATCGCACGTCCGCGAATCACGATTATCGTCACGACACGATATATCGTGCAGCCCTAGCTTGAATACAGACATGTTTAAAAAATAAGAGCTTTAGGAGACAGACAAGGAACCAACGTGTGGTTATAAAAGACAGATTAGGTTTATGATGCAGACTAGGAGCTGAAGAAGAGCTAGGAGACAGAACATGAATATTTAGAAGACAGTCTAGGAGCTAAATCAAACCAGGTTTTATTTATAGAGCACTTTTAAAAACGATTTTTGGTCGAGCCAAAGTGCTGTACATGTAATAAAAAACACTTTACTACAATAACAACAAAAGACAATCATTTACAACAGAAATAAAAAACAGAACACAGGGAATAGTCAGGAGTCGTGCTCCGCTCTGACTAGAAGGCCAGAGAGAAGAAGTGAGTCTTTAGTGAGGATTTAAAAACCCCTAGGGTCTGGTTCGACCTCACGTGGAGGGGCAGAGTGTTCCAGAGCCTGGGGCCCGCTGCTGCGAAGGCTCGCTGCAGCCCGAGGGCTTTGAGCCTGGTCTGGGGCGCTATCAGCAGCAGCTGGTCAGCAGACCTTAAGGCTCTGGCTGGGGTGTAGCGATGGAGGAGTTCAGCTATACATGCCGGAGCCAGCCCATTTAGGGCTTTGAAAACGTAGCTAAGACAAACTTGATGCGGAATAAGAGGCTTAGGAATGAGATGTTTTGAGCATGAGAAGAAACTTAAACCTTAATTGTTTTTGAAGAGCTCTAATAAAAAGATGAACTGTGATCTGTCCTCTCTGCAGAAAGAGCTGCTCTGTAAGCAGATGGGTTTGTCCTCTTCTGTCTCTGACGAAGCCTTCGAGGAAGCCGTGTACGAACGCATCGGGAAAGACGACTTCGCCATGGAAACCCTGAGATGGTGAGACTGGGCTCAGGACTCACACTGTATTGCACTTTTTATCCTGTAACCCCGTGCAATCCAGCTTTACCGTAAAGAGACATTTCAGATATTTGGACGACGTCCTTATTAGGGGTGGGGGAAATAATCGATACAGCATAGTATCGTGATACTTTGCGTGGCGATAGTGTATCAATACACGGACGCCAAGTATCGATATTTTCTGATATAAACTGTAGCATATCCCTCGGAAAGATGGTCGTACATTTGACTGATGATTTCTAATTGATTGAAAACTCAAAAACCAACGTAAGAGCTACTCAAAGACAAAGTACATTTAAGCTACATCCATACGAGCATTACTTTAGAATACCATTAAACAAGTGAACTTCAAATAGTTAGTTATAATATAATATAAACGAATTGAGACACAAACCACATGTTTATATTACAGTTAACACTAACCTTGTGCCTCTTGCTAACACTTACATGTAAACTTTATCTTTTGATATCGCGGTATTTAAATGTTGATATCTCCGTTAATATCTGTACTTTATCTCCGTGAAGTGTTTGCTTTGGGAACAGGAACTACCTGCTAATAGCGTGTTCAGAACAAGGCTGAGGAGACTCCTCTTCTGCACACGTTCCACTTCCCCTCCTGATGAGGAGGCGTGAAGTGGTGTCGCGCTTCAATCCAAATCAACTGTTTCAAATGCTCTCTTCAGACCAAGGCTCCGCGCCGCCATTGTTCTGAGGGCCCGCGCTGGCATTGAAACGTAAATCCCTTCCGACGGTAAAAGTGAACCGTTGGAAATATTCCATCTATGCAGTTTTTAAAAAGGGTAAAAAGCCAAAGCGCCTTGCAGCTCGCATTGAATGACTTGTTGTTCATTTGATTCAATTCGCCAGCAAAGCAGGGACAAAAGGCAACTGCTCATCTCTTTAGATTCAGCCAAGGATGTGTGGGCTGCCGTGGCGTTAACGTAATGTTCTTTGAAAGCTTTTCAAACGGCGCTCTGAAGGTCAATCCTTTGAGGAGAAGTCTTGTTTTTGTTCAGGTTTGGGATGCTGAGCGAAGAGTCGGTGCTTCACGCCGACAGTGTGCTGGCCGCGCTCGCAAAGCATCTGGAAGGGAAACTCTCCTTTGGTGAGACTCATTTATTACCCACAATGCAGCACCTTTCAACACAAGGCAATTGAAAGTGCTTTAGACATTAAGAGCATTAGGAAACACATTATGAAATGGTATTTAAAAGCAAAGATAATAAAACATGAATTAAAGTCACAGAGAGATACACACATCTGCAATGTGTAGCTCTGACTCAGTCACTGCTAACTTTTTAGCAGAAATAGTTTTCTTTGACCTCACTTTTCTTTCTACTTTCTTTTTTAACTCATCCTTTAGTTGTTTCAAGTGTTTCATGCTAAGCCCCTCTGGAACATTAGAATATGACTGACGGGGCTGAAACAGAGGGGATTATGGGATGCTGCAACTATCTGTTTGGTATTTAGTGCCAAACACTTCAAAGACCTGTTTTGTATATATCTGAGAGCTGTAATAATAATAGGGGACCTTTAAAACACTTTGAATGACTTCTCTCTCTTGATTAGCTGAGGGCGAGCGGGATATGATCATCATGAGGAACGACGTGGGGCTCCGCCACCCGACCGGAGAGCTGGAGACCAAACACATCAGCCTGGTGGTGTACGGGACCCCCAACGGGTTCTCCGCCATGGCCAAGACCGTCGGATACCCAGCAGCCATTGCAGCTCGCATGGTCCTTGATGGTAAGAGTCATACGATACGATAAGATAATACTTTAATGGTCAGATCAAGTCTGAAATGCTCCTTGCATCACAGCAGCTCCACGTGTAACATCAACAGACATTTAACACAGCAGCACAATCAGTGAGAGAAAACATGTTCAAAGAGCCTTCAGCGTGCATCTGATCTGGATTCAGCTCTGCGTTTACTGACGTGGCCAAGACCGTCAGATACCCAGCAGCCATTGCAGCTCGCATGGTCCTTGATGGTAAGAGTCAGGAAGGTTTTTCTGAAACAAATTGAGTGATATTTTTTGGTTTGGTTGGTGCACCAAACCACAGGTACGATGCTGAAGACAATAGCCGCTTTCACACCAAGTACTTTGCCGTACTTAGTGCCCAGCACTTAGTACCCCCAGGGCACTAAGTACAGATCGCGTTCACACCGGAATAAGTTCCCTGGGGGAGGATTAGGCAAATGAAGCCGCTAACGTCACTTCTTCTTCTTCTGCTTTGGGTTTACTGGCAGGCCGCAAACCACTTCACGGCGTATACTGCCACCTGGAGTCCCCGGCCGGAAGGCCCCGGAGTTGGGGACTGGCTTCAGTAGAAGCTGCTGGGACTCCCAGCAGCTTCTACTGAAGCCTTCCGAGTAAATCGCCAGAACGCCGACACCTCCTCATCTCCACCTTTCTTTTGTGGTGCCATAAGTTAGTCTCTCTCCGTTAGTGCGCGGGGCTAATGCTAATGATGCTAATGCCAGCAAATACAATGGCGGCTTCACAAAACTTAAAACTTTACGGGGCGTGGTTTGCAATTCGCCCAGCCAATCGAAATTGGTACTTTTTTTCTCCCTAGGAAAAAGTACCACCTCTCTAGCAGGCACTGAAAATGGGGGTAAAAGTTCTCTGAACTAAATACTCTTTTTGGTGTGAACGCAAAATTCCAGGCACTAACGGAACTAAACGGGAAAAGTACTCTATATATGAGTGTCCTTAAAGGTCCCATATTATACTATATTTGAACAATATATTATAGGGCCATATTCTCTCAAGCTCAAACGCTTTCTCTCTCCCAGGTTTACCACAAGATGAGTATCTTTTTATTTCCTGCTTCTTTACACACACTCTCTCCAGTACAGGTTAGCTCTGAGTGTTAGCGATGCTTGCTAAAGTAAACAAAGACCATATTAGTTCCAAAACACGTCTTGCATTTCTGATATTACGACATGACCGCAGCAAATCTGGATCAGCTCCGTTGTTCCACCGTTTTTAGAGATGTGGGTACGGAGGAAAAGAGAGGGTTGTATTTTCTGACACACTGAGGACTAGGGATGGGAACGAATATTCGATTAATCGATTAATCGAATATTCGAATATTCAAAATTATTCAGGTATTCGAATATGAGTTAATCATTTTTTTTTTTTTGGGAGGGTTCCTAAGTTGATTAAATATCATCAAATAGAATAATTAAATGTGTATGTATATATATATATATATATATATATATATGACAGTGCCATAGCTAAGTGTGTTAGGTCTAAAGGTGTGTTTTGCTCCGCTCACCGGTCCCTCACAGCGGGCAGAGCTGCAGGTGCTGATCTCTCTCTCTCGCGTCCGGTTATACTTCACTCGCGTTTATGTCCAAATCCATCAGATCTAGTTCTAGCCAATGATATGGCTGCTGCCCCTCCCTACACGCAGATCACGCAGACTCAAACCTCATCTTAGGCCCAAATGCGGCGCAAATGCGCTCCGCAGCCGTTGCGAGGTTCCGGCGCTAACAGTTCATGAGCGTGCTCCCCCGCCCCCTGTCAACACTCGCTGCTTGGCAACCGTGTGTGGCGGCAAAGTAAAGACATTTTGACAGGAGAGATTTAGTTTTGCCGGTATTCAACATATTTGACCAGTCATAGTCCGGTAATTATTTACACTCTAAGAAGAGTCCTACACAACAGACATGGCGTCAAAAAGGAGTAATGTGTGGAAATATTTCGACCCCGGTTAGTGAGTGCGGTGTAGAGGTTTTTTTATAGGATATGTACATTTCGGTTTACCGTTTTTTGGGGGGTCGAATATTCGAATATACATTTGCTTTCAAATTCCCATCCCTACCGGGGACACATATTTATGTAGAAAAGACTCCTTTAAGATTGATCGTGTGTTTTCTCTCAGGTGAAATCACTACAAAGGGTCTCGTGGTTCCGATGTCGAAGGAAATCTACGAGCCGGCCCTGGCCCGACTGAAGGAGGAAGGACTTCACTTCATGTCTAAGAGCGACCTGCAGGAGTAGATCCAGAACACATCCAGAGAAAACGCATTAGATCCACATGCTACCAGCTGCCTTTCCACCAACTTCATCCAAACTGGATCTCCTGACAGACTCCTGTTTAAAATTGGATTTATAACTCACCTGTCAGGCGCTAACAAAATAAATGAATAATCGCAGAGTTTTTATGGGAATATTTGAACGGTTAAAAGGAGAAAAAGGGTTTAAACTCCCTGAAGTTCTTATTTATTGTGTTGAATTTCAATTTTAGGGACATTTAGATTTGAAGTCAAAAAGCTCATTAAAGGGAAGCAGGGCTCGGCTGTATCATACAATAAAAGCTCTTCTGTGAAGATCTGTGAAAGGTTGACTAATCAAACACTATGTTAGGCGTTAAAAAGCAATAAGTAACACTTTCATCAGGTGAAACTGCCTTGAATCATAAATCTGTCTCTTTGAAGTGTTGGATATCCTTTTAGACGCTGAACTGTTCCATGTCTTAAACCGTCCTTATTTCCCCTCCATGGTTTCAAACAGCATCTGCTTTAATTAAAGATCCATTCAAACGTAGCTCAATACTGCACTGACCTTCTAACTGTGATGCATTTCAAAAATAAGTGTCACACTCTGGACACAAGTGATAGAAATGAAACCGTCCAACATAACAGAATAGGATTTAGCCTCAGATGTCCACTATACTAAATACCAAAGAAGCTGAGAGCAGCTGCTAGTGATTATTTCCAGCTTGTTTTGTACGGGATCACGAGTCAATAGTGTTTATTTTGTTCTGCTCATGTTTGAAATATATATAGATAATACTAGTTTAGCTTTACGGAAGAGGATTATGGCCACATTATGTTCTGAGCAAAAAGTCATTGCGAGAAAAATGTTGTTTTTTTCCCAGAAAATCGCATAATTTACGTTTTTTTGTCTCGGAATTATGACTTTTTTTCGCAAAACTCAAAGAGATTCCCTTTTTAAACAGATGTCAAAAGAAAACTCACATGTTGCCCTAATCCTCTTACGTAAACACTTTATTGGTAATGAAACCCAATAAATTGTCAATTCGGACTGCTTTACAAGGAAGTGTCTTAAAATAGAGAACTTCCCTGGTGTTACATTTGTAGAAAAAGACATTTTAAAATAAAAAAAACTCTCAAAATCAAACTCACTTCACAGATCTTGAGATAAATGTATATTATCTTATAAAGAGTGATCATCTACAGATGTGTTTTTTATTGAATATTGTATATGAACTCATTTATTGGGTAACTCTGATCCATACCAGCGACTAACGTAGACATTTTGGGTTTGTTTTAAAGAGTGCTTATTGTTTTTTTGTGGAGCTTGTGTGAAGTTTCCCCAGAGTGGATATGGAGTATTTATTGTCTACAAACTGAGCAATATTGTGTTGTTGGCGATGATGTGGTCACCTTGGTTTGTAAGATGCTTTAAATGGTTACAAAAACAAAGAGATTTTATACACACCTGAGATGTATTTTTTTAAATAATATATCTGACATGTCGATCATATGTGGGACTCGAGAGGGTTTCTAAAATGCAGATTTTAAAAAGGAGTATGTCAGTTTAACGGTTTTACAATTTCAGAGTATTGCTTTAATTCACCTCGCGGTAAAACACACTTTTATTATTTTTAATATTTCAGTTGACACTCATGATAAAACGCTTGTTTTGATAGAAGATTTTTGCTTTATGGAAATGTAAACATGAATAAAAATATTTCTGTGATGTGCTTTCATTCAAGTTATCTCTGAATGTATCCATTATGTTTCAGTCACACTCAAGGATATTAATGCATCTCTTTAATGGGGCGACTGTGGCTGCGAGGGAGTGCGGTCATCTTTCCACCGGAAGGTTTGATCCCAGCCCATGCAGTCAACATGTCGATGTATCCTTGGGCAAGATACTTAACCCTGAGTTGCTCCCGATGGCATGGCCAACATTGTATGAATGTTAGTTCCTAGAGTAAGGTACACTGCTCTGAGTGGGTGAATGATGTGTAGTATGTAAAGCGCTTTGAGGGGTCTTAAAGACTGGATAAAGCGCTATAAGTACAGTCCATTTACCATTTAATAATTCGTTAATTATGCAATGTATTAAATATGGTTTTCTGTGTTGGCTCCATAATTTACCTACTCAAATATGAATATCATTTTTGAGTTTTTGGAAACAAATTGAACATTTTAACTTTTAATAACTCAAATTTCCGTGAAGCTTTCTCGTGTTAGCCAATCAGCGATGAGGATTTCAGCCTGCCGTCACTGACGTCGAATCAGAAACCAACCAAAACATTAGCCGTTAGCAGTTAGCAGTGAGCACACAGAGCTCAAAGCTCCTATCTGTTCAGAAACTGCAGAAAAGTCATTCAAGTACACATCACACAAACACCTAAGTCATGGCGAATACAGTAGCTGCTTTATCTCTGTATCTCAGAAATAAATAAAGCAGAGGCAATATGACGTTTTTGTGAGTGTAGACGGAGCAGCTACATGTTAGCTTAGCCAGATGGATCAGATCTCCATTCAGAAAACACGCATTTTAAAAGTGTTTCGTTTGCCGTCTTGAGTGCACACTTGTCAAAGCATTAAATCATGTTTTTAACAAACCGCTATCCGTATGTATATCATTCTGAAATGTGCACTATTACAATTTAATGTAGGATACCACTTGCAAAATAAGGCTATCTTTTTTTAAGGATTTTAATTGGGTGAACTAAACTCAATAGGCCTATAGCCTACTTAATTTCTTTGTTTACTATCTTCATAAACATCTTTAAAGAGACCCTATTGCAGGGTCGGCTCTAGAACAACTTGAATGGGGGGGCAATCATTTACCAAGGGGGGGGCACACACTGCCGTCAACAACCAACACACAAACACCAACTTCAATTTAAAAAAACATGCTGTAAAGTCTATTGTCTTTCACACACATTGCAGGGGTGTAGTGCTATTGTATAGTGCACCTATGACTTGTGCATACATGCACGGTTGTGGCACGACCACCAAAACAGAAACATATAAGGACAGAGGGTGTCGTTTTCTCATACTGATATTCTGCACAAACTGAGCTGTTGTATTTGCTGTAAAGTGTCTTTACTGTAGGTTATTTTTTTAATTATATGTACAGCACTTTGGCTCGACCAAAAATCGTTGAAAAATGTGCTATATAAATAAAACTTGATTTGATTTGATTTGATTTGGACATAGGCCACCATATAAAAAGTGTGCAAATGTATTTAGTATCCTATCCATGTGAACATGTTTTAGGTGGGGGTGGACCTAACCAGAGGGTCTGGGGGCATGCTCCCCCGGGAAGATTATTTTTAAAATATTGAAGTTAAATGCATCAATCTGGTGCACTTTGAGAGCAAAGTGAAGAGATCTATGGATAGCCTACATCTCTCAGCATCCATATGAAACAGAACTGTACACAGATTTACTTTTTCTTATGGATATTTCACTAATCACTCCCCTTTTAAACTGTATTCTTGTGTTACTGTCCTATAGTATTTCATACCCGTTTTTCATTTATTCTCTCTTTAATAACTATAATGATCATATAAAGGTGTTCCTCGAAAATACTTACATAAATGGTGACCAAACCGTTTGAGACCCACTGAGATAACCTACACTAAAGTGAACTATCTAAACACTGAGAGAGTCCTTTACCTCACTGAGCTGAGGTTATACGATCCTCTCAGTCTGACAGGAGAGGACTGTCCTCCACCTTGGTGTAGAAACAGCTCTTTATATCCGTTAGCATAGCCAGCTAACCAGATGCTAACCACAACATTCCACGTTACCGCTCGCGCACTCACAAAATGCGCTCGTGCCACACACACACAGAGCTTGAATGAAACACAGAGACCCATGTACTTGTACTGTACTGTATATCATATTATTTTCGATGGCTTTACTGTATAATCAGTGTAACAGATGAACAGATCGCCACTGGGCTTTCATCTAAAACACACAGCCACGTAATGATAACAAAACAAAGGTCGGGGGTCATTGGTCAAGCAACACACCAATCAGAGAGCAGCAGTGAGCACACCTCAGGCTGTGTTTTATATTTGTATTCTTTATTTCTCATGTATTTCACACAGAAAACCTTTAGTGGAAACGTTTTCACTTAGCCTATATGATAAAAAAAAGAAAAAATCGGCAAAGTGACAAGGATTGCCCACCCTGCGTTGGGGGGGCACAGTGACTCATTTGGGGGGGCATGGCCCGCGAATGACCCCCCATGACGCCGACCCTGCCCTATTGTTCCTTTACTGTAGTGTGTTATATAGGTTTTTTCCAGAGGGAGTTTATCTGAACCTGAAAATGAGCAAATAGGGCCACTTTCAGTAAAACCTCTGCTTTTCCTTAAATAAAACTCCAACACAACTCATTTAACCCAGGCTTTCAGATTTAAATAATAGTTAGAGATAGATTTATTTTCCTGACAGAAGTTACTATCCCATATGTTGTATGTTATGATCTTCGACAGGCTTCAGCTCCTCTGTAAAAAAAGACAATCAGCCGGTTTGCTTCCACTCGATTTGAAGGCAGCCATGCAAACTAGGCCACCAAGCAGGGGATAATTGGGCATGTAATTATGAAAAGTCAAAAATGCAAATGAAGGTGTGGATAAGGGCGGACGGTCAACTCCACGTCTGGACACTTGACCTAATTTCTTCCGCCCTGAAAAGGCGCGTTTTCTTGCAGAGTCTTAGCCCGGATTAACACAGGGGGAAATCAATTGGAATAACCAGTTCAGCGCAGGGATTAAAGCATGACTCCATAAAGGGAAAATACATAATCCACAGGTTTTTTCATCAGACACCACGTCTTCATTTTCAGACATTGTTTGTTAACACCTCTCTCCTGTCGCGTGTCTGCTCCACCTTTTGTCTCGCGGCGTGACCTAGAGGCGCTGACCTCTAGGTGACCGTAGCAGAATGAGCCTCGCAGACGACCAACAGGAAGAGTCCTGTTGGTCGTCTGCGAGGCTCATTCTGCTACAGTAATTGACTCTGAAGAACACACCAGAAACATGTAAATGCAACCCGCTTTCCCAGCCAATAGTGAGCCACGGTGCATTCTAATTTGAAATATATATTCTGTTTTAAAATGTACAAAAACTGAATCTTATTGAGATCTTTGTCGATCAATATTCCTGTTGCTGTTAGTTTTATAGTTACTTTATCCATTATCTTATTTCATCTTTTCTTATCTTAATGTATCAGCTCTGTTGTGATTGGTCAACAGTTGAGAGATACCCCGTCCCTTAGCCAATCACGTACAATGTGTTAGAGCGCTAGCCAATTTCTCTTCAAACAACATTTATTTTATTTTCACTCGTCACTTTTTTATAAAAATGAAATATTATTCTGCCAATATCCAGAACATTTGGGACATTTTGTTTTCTCGAAGGCAGTTTACAACCAATAAAATACATTTAGATGATCCCTTTCTAGACATATAAAAGGAGTATTTGACCAATGTGTTTGTGCCTTGACTAACAGTAATCCCTTTGTTGATTAAAATGTGTTGCTGCAAATTATAGTCATGAACACGGTAAAAAAAAATCCAACAGTCTGTTTTTGGTGTTCTTTCACGTATTTAATGCCCTATCTAATAATCCAGCAGTGTTTCATGTCCAGCTAAAAAAACAAACATGTCAGTATCCCATGCATCACATTTAGTCTGTTACAAAATGTCAGAATATAAAAACATTAATGTCCTCCAACTAAGCAATTATTATTAAAACCATAACATTTGAAAAGCGCTCTAAAAATGGTCAAATATAAAAATCTAAAAGTATAAATAGAAATTTGGTCCATCGAGTTGATTACTATAATATTATTTACATTCGATTATTATTATTTTGTATTATTCCAGGCCCTTATTTCATCCAATAGCACACTGCTGCTACCGTTGCGATGGTATTTACAGAGGAGGAGTTCAGTGCAGGAGCTCTGTAAAAGACAAGCTAACAAAATATCTCATTTAATGTAAAAAGATGCCCTTTTTTATCCCATTTGGCTCAGTGCCAATAAATACAAAACGTTTAGGAAGAGTGTGTTAGTGTGAGAGCGTTATAATAAAGCGCACAGTTAGTCTACAGCTTGTAACAAAGTTAGAAAGTACAGGATGAAAAATACAAAAAGGCACACGTTACAAAAGTCCAGATCCAGCGAAAAGAGGACACTCTCTCTCGGCCTCAAACTATTTTTTTTATCTTAGTCTGGCATCAGGGTTGGTGTTTGAGGAGGAAGGATAATAAAAAGGCTGTTTCTCCTTTAAAGTTCTCTGTGTGTTTTGGGGCGATCACACGAGGGATTCAAGGCTCTCGGCGGTGCTGGCGTTTCCCACCACGATCGTCCCGTTGTTGTCGGAGGAATTCAGAGTGTCCTCGTCTTCTTGTGTCCCGATGAGACTCAGCATGGCTCTGTACAGGAACTGGTACTGCTCCTGAGAAACCACCACAGGACACAATTGTTATACTTACTGCTGGGAAAACACTGAATGTCCTCTTCCAGTATCAGAGTACACATGATAACAAAGGTATCCCAACTGTAGCTGTGAACATGACAGGATGTGTGATTACCTAGAAGAGCATCAGGACTGTTTGAGGCATATGATAGCTATGTGGTTAACATGATGATTCAGCCTCTATGGAGAGAGACATCAAGCATGATCATTTCTGACGTGGAGCTAATCTGAAGTAAACATTGAATACTGCTTTCTATTCCTCCATCTTGTGACTGTGTAACTCCCTCTCTTGGATATCAGCATGTGAAGGACACTGTTCAGGAACTAGCTGATGCTCTGTATGTGATGACTCCTTCCATTCTGGAGAGGATCACAGACACATGGATCCTGAGATTGAAGCTCAAGCCGGGGACCAGAGAGATTTCTCTAACACTTACTAACGATAATACACAATCATGGCTAGAATAAGTACTCAGATCCTTAAGTAGAAAGAGCAAATGATCCCATACTCAAAACGTTACTTCAGTAAAAGTTCACAAGTATTATCAGCAGAACGTACCTAAAGAAATAAAAGTACTAAATGTTTTGGGTATTATAAAATATGACATTCTGTTTTTTATCGCTAATGAATAAATAAAAAGGTTTAAAGTAGAGACACTACATACTGATATACACCTGAACATCAGCAGGAGAGGACTCTTTAAAGTAGAGACACTACATACTGATATACACCTGAACATCAGCAGGAGAGGACTCTTTAAAGTAGAGACACTACATACTGATATACACCTGAACATCAGCAGGAGAGGACTCTTTAAAGTAGAGACACTAACATACTGATATACACCTGAACATCAGCAGGAGAGGACTCTTTAAAGTAGAGACACTACATACTGATATACACCTGAACATCAGCAGGAGAGGACTCTTTAAAGTAGAGACACTACATACTGATATACACCTGAACATCAGCAGGAGAGGACTCTACTTTAAGTAGAGACACTACATACCTGATATACACCTGAACATCAGCAGGAGAGGACTCTTTAAAGTAGAGACACTACATACTGATATACACCTGAAACATCAGCAGGGAGAGGGACTCTTTAAAGTAGAAGACAACTACATACTGATATACACCTAACATCAGCAGGAGAGGCACTCTTTAAAGTAGAGACACTACATACTGATATACACCTGAACATCAGCAGGAGAGGACTCTTTAAAGTAGAGACACTACATAGCTGAATATACAACCTGAACATCAGCAGGGAGAGGACTCCTTAAAGTAGAGACACTACATACTGATATAACACCTGAACATCAGCAGGAGAGGACTCTTTAAAGTAGAGACACTACATACTGATATACACCTGAACATCAGCAGGAGAGGACTCTTTAAAGTAGAGACACTACATACTGATATACACCTGACATCAGCAGGAGAGGACTCTTTAAAGTAGAGACACTACATACTGATATACACCTGAACATCAGCAGGAGAGGACTCTTTAAAGTAGAGACACTACATACTGATATACACCTGAACATCAGCGGGAGAGGACTCTTTAAAGTAGAGACACTACATACTGATATGAACCTGAACATCAGCAGGAGAGGACTCTTTAAAGTAGAGACACTACATACTGATATACACCTGAACATCAGCAGGAGAGGACTCTTTAAAGTAGAGACACTACATACTGATATACACCTGAACATCAGCAGGAGAGGACTCTTTAAAGTAGAGACACTACATACTGATATACACCTGAACATCAGCAGGAGAGGACTCTTTAAAGTAGAGACACTACATACTGATATACACCTGAACATCAGCAGGAGAGGACTCTTTAAAGTAGAGACACTACATACTGATATACACCTGAACATCAGCAGGAGAGCACTCTTTAAAGTAGAGACACTACATACTGATATACACCTGAACATCAGCAGGAGAGGACTCTTTAAAGTAAAGACACTACATACTAATATACACCTGAACATCAGCGGGAGAGGACTCTTTAAATTAGAGACACTACATACTGATATACACCTGAACATCAGCAGGAGAGGACTCTTTAAAGTAGAGACACTACATACTGATATACACCTGAACATCAGCAGGAGAGGACTCTTTAAAGTAGAGACACTACATACTGATATACACCTGAACATCAGCAGGAGAGGACTCTTTAAAGTAGAGACACTACATACTGATATACACCTGAACATCAGCAGGAGAGGACTCTTTAAAGTAGAGACACTACATACTGATATACACCTGAACATCAGCGGGAGAGGACTCTTTAAAGTAGAGACACTACATACTGATATGAACCTGAACATCAGCAGGAGAGGACTCTTTAAAGTAGAGACACTACATAGTGATATACACCTGAACATCAGCAGGAGAGGACTCTTTAAAGTAGAGACACTACATACTGATATACACCTGAACATCAGCAGGAGAGGACTCTTTAAAGTAGAGACACTACATACTGATATACACCTGAACATCAGCAGGAGAGGACTCTTTAAAGTAGAGACACTACATACTGATATACACCTGAACATCAGCAGGAGAGGACTCTTTAAAGTAAGAGACACTACATACTGATATACACCTGAACATCAGCAGGAGAGGACTCTTTAAAGTAGAGACACTACATACTGATATACACCTGAACATCAGCAGGAGAGGACTCTTTAAAGTAGAGACACTACATACTGATATACACCTGAACATCAGCAGGAGAGGACTCTTTAAAGTAGAGACACTACATACTGATATACACCTGAACATCAGCAGGAGAGGACTCTTTAAAGTAGAGACACTACATACTGATATACACCTGAACATCAGCAGGAGAGGACTCTTTAAAGTAGAGACACTACATACTGATATACACCTGAACATCAGCAGGAGAGGACTCTTTAAAGTAGAGACACTACATACTGATATACACCTGAACATCAGCAGGAGAGGACTCTTTAAAGTAGAGACACTACATACTGATATACACCTGAACATCAGCAGGAGAGGACTCTTTAAAGTAGAGACACTACATACTGATATACACCTGAACATCAGCAGGAGAGGACTCTTTAAAGTAGAGACACTACATACTGATATACACCTGAACATCAGCAGGAGAGGACTCTTTAAAGTAGAGACACTACATACTGATATACACCTGAACATCAGCAGGAGAGGACTCTTTAAAGTAGAGACACTACATACTGATATACACCTGAACATCAGCAGGAGAGGACTCTTTAAAGTAGAGACACTACATACTGATATACACCTGAACATCAGCAGGAGAGGACTCTTTAAAGTAGAGACACTACATACTGATATACACCTGAACATCAGCAGGAGAGGACTCTTTAAAGTAGAGACACTACATACTGATATACACCTGAACATCAGCAGGAGAGGACTCTTTAAAGTAGAGACACTACATACTGATATACACCTGAACATCAGCAGGAGAGGGACTCTTTAAAGTAGAGACACTACATACTGATATACACCTGAACATCAGCAGGAGAGGACTCTTTAAAGTAGAGACACTACATACTGATATACACCTGAACATCAGCAGGAGAGGACTCTTTAAAGTAGAGACACTACATACTGATATACACCTGAACATCAGCAGGAGAGGACTCTTTAAAGTAGAGACACTACATACTGATATACACCTGAACATCAGCAGGAGAGGACTCTTTAAAGTAGAGACCACTACATACTGATATACACCTGAACATCAGCAGGAGAGGACTCTTTAAAGTAGAGACACTACATACTGATATACACCTGAACATCAGCAGGAGAGGACTCTTTAAAGTAGAGACACTACATAACTGATATACACCTGAACATCAGCAGGAGAGGACTCTTTAAAGTAGAGACACTACATACTGATATGACACCTGAACATCAGCAGGGAGAGGACTCTTAAGTAGAGACACTACATACTGATATTACACCTGAACATCAGCAGGAGAGGACTCTTTAAAGTAGAGACACTACATACTGATATACACCTGAACATCAGCAGGAGAGGACTCTTTAAAGTAGAGACACTACATACTGATATACACCTGAACATCAGCAGGAGAGGACTCTTTAAAGTAGAGACACTACATACTGATATACACCTGAACATCAGCAGGAGAGGACTCTTTAAAGTAGAGACACTACATACTGATATACACCTGAACATCAGCAGGAGAGGACTCTTTAAAGTAAGAGACACTACATACTGATATACACCTGAACATCAGCAGGAGAGGACTCTTTAAAGTAGAGACACTACATACTGATATACACCTGAACATCAGCAGGAGAGGACTCTTTAAAGTAGAGACACTACATACTGATATACACCTGAACATCAGCAGGAGAGGACTCTTTAAAGTAGAGACACTACATACTGATATACACCTGAACATCAGCAGGAGAGGACTCTTTAAAGTAGAGACACTACATACTGATATACACCTGAACATCAGCAGGAGAGGACTCTTTAAAGTAGAGACACTACATACTGATATACACCTGAACATCAGCAGGAGAGGACTCTTTAAAGTAGAGACACTACATACTGATATACACCTGAACATCAGCAGGAGAGGACTCTTTAAAGTAGAGACACTACATACTGATATACACCTGAACCATCAGCAGGAGAGGGACTCTTTAAAGTAGAGACACTACATACTGATATACACCTGAACATCAGCAGGAGAGGACTCTTTAAAGTAGAGACACTACATACTGATATACACCTGAACATCAGCAGGAGAGGACTCTTTAAAGTAGAGACACTACATACTGATATACACCTGAACATCAGCAGGAGAGGACTCTTTAAAGTAGAGACACTACATACTGATATACACCTGAACATCAGCAGGAGAGGACTCTTTAAAGTAGAGACACTACATACTGATATACACCTGAACATCAGCAGGAGAGGACTCTTTAAAGTAGAGACACTACATACTGATATACACCTGAACATCAGCAGGAGAGGACTCTTTAAAGTAGAGACACTACATACTGATATACACCTGAACATCAGCAGGAGAGGACTCTTTTAAAGTAGAGACACTACATACTGATATACACCTGAACATCAGCAGGAGAGGACTCTTTAAAGTAGAGACACTACATACTGATATACACCCTGAACATCAGCAGGAGAGGAATCTTTAAAGTAGAGACACTACATACTGATATACACCTGAACATCAGCAGGAGAGGACTCTTTAAAGTAGAGACACTACATACTGATATACACCTGAACATCAGCAGGAGAGGACTCTTTAAAGTAGAGACACTACATACTGATATACACCTGAACATCAGCAGGAGAGGACTCTTTAAAGTAGAGACACTACATACTGATATACACCTGAACATCAGCAGGAGAGGACTCTTTAAAGTAGAGACACTACATACTGATATACACCTGAACATCAGCAGGAGAGGACTCTTTAAAGTAGAGACACTAATACTGATATACACCTGAACATCAGCAGGAGAGGACTCTTTAAAGTAGAGACACTACATACTGATATACACCTGAACATCAGCAGGAGAGGACTCTTTAAAGTAGAGACACTACATACTGATATACACCTGAACATCAGCAGGAGAGGACTCTTTAAAGTAGAGACACTACATACTGATATACACCTGAACATCAGCAGGAGAGGACTCTTTAAAGTAGAGACACTACATACTGATATACACCTGAACATCAGCAGGAGAGGACTCTTTAAAGTAGAGACACTACATACTGATATACACCTGAACATCAGCAGGAGAGGACTCTTTAAAGTAGAGACACTACATACTGATATACACCTGAACATCAGCAGGAGAGGACTCTTTAAAGTAGAGACACTACATACTGATATACACCTGAACATCAGCAGGAGAGGACTCTTTAAAGTAGAGACACTACATACTGATATACACCTGAACATCAGCAGGAGAGGACTCTTTAAAGTAGAGACACTACATACTGATATACACCTGAACATCAGCAGGAGAGGACTCTTTAAAGTAGAGACACTACATACTGATATACACCTGACATCAGCAGGAGAGGACTCTTTAAAGTAGAGACACTACATACTGATATACACCTGAACATCAGCAGGAGAGGACTCTTTAAAGTAGAGAACACTACATACTGATATACACCCTGAACATCAGCAGGAGAGGACTCTTTAAAGTAGAGACACTACATACTGATATACACCTGAACATCAGCAGGAGAGGACTCTTTAAAGTAGAGACACTACATACTGATATACACCTGAACATCAGCAGGAGAGGACTCTTTAAAGTAGAGACACTACATACTGATATACACCTGAACATCAGCAGGAGAGGACTCTTTAAAGTAGAGACACTACATACTGATATACACCTGAACATCAGCAGGAGAGGACTCTTTAAAGTAGAGACACTACATACTGATATACACCTGAACATCAGCAGGAGAGGACTCTTTAAAGTAGAGACACTACATACTGATATACACCTGAACATCAGCAGGAGAGGACTCTTAAAGTAGAGACACTACATACTGATATACACCTGAACATCAGCAGGAGAGGACTCTTTAAAGTAGAGACACTACATACTGATATACACCTGAACATCAGCAGGAGAGACTCTTTAAAGTAGAGACACTACATACTGATATACACTGAACATCAGCAGGAGAGGACTCTTTAAAGTAGAGACACTACATACTGATATACACCTGAACATCAGCAGGAGAGGACTCTTTAAAGTAGAGACACTACATACTGATATACACCTGACATCAGCAGGAGAGGACTCTTTAAAGTAGAGACACTACATACTGATATACACCTGAACATCAGCAGGAGAGGACTCTTTAAAGTAGAGACACTACATACTGATATACCACCTGAACATCAGCAGGAGAGGACTCTTTAAAGTAGAGACACTACATACTGATATACACCTGAACATCAGCAGGAGAGGACTCTTTAAAGTAGAGACACTACATACTGATATACACCTGAACATCAGCAGGAGAGGACTCTTAAAGTAGAGACACTACATACTGATATACACCTGAACATCAGCAGGAGAGGACTCTTTAAAGTAGAGACACTACATACTGATATACACCTGAACATCAGCAGGAGAGGACTCTTTAAAGTAGAGACACTACATACTGATATACACCTGAACATCAGCAGGAGAGGACTCTTTAAAGTAGAAGACACTACATACTGATATACACCTGAACATCAGCAGGAGAGGACTCTTTAAAGTAGAGACACTACATACTGATATACACCTGAACATCAGCAGGAGAGGACTCTTTAAAGTAGAGACACTACATACTGATATACACCTGAACATCAGCAGGAGAGGACTCTTTAAAGTAGAGACACTACATACTGATATACACCTGAACATCAGCAGGAGAGGACTCTTTAAAGTAGAGACACTACATACTGATATACACCTGAACATCAGCAGGAGAGGACTCTTTAAGTAGAGACACTACATACTGATATACACCTGAACATCAGCAGGAGAGGACTCTTTAAAGTAGAGACCACTACATACTGATATACACCTGAACATCAGCAGGAGAGGACTCTTTAAAGTAGAGACACTACATACTGATATACACCTGAACATCAGCAGGAGAGGACTCTTTAAAGTAGAGACACTACATACTGATATACACCTGAACTCAGCAGGAGAGGACTCTTTAAAGTAGAGACACTACATACTGATATACACCTGAACATCAGCAGGAGAGGACTCTTTAAAGTAGAGACACTACATACTGATATACATCTGAACATCAGCAGGAGAGGACTCTTTAAAGTAGAGACACTACATACTGATATACATCTGAACATCAGCAGGAGAGGACTCTTTAAAGTAGAGACACTACATACTGATATACACCTGAACATCAGCAGGAGAGGACTCTTTAAAGTAGAGACACTACATACTAATATACACCTGAACATCAGAGGAGAGGACTCTTAAATTAGAGACACTACATACTGATATACACCTGAACATCAGCAGGAGAGGACTCTTTAAAGTAGAGACACTACATACTGATATACACTGAACATCAGCAGGAGAGGACTCTTTAAAGTAGAGACACTACATACTGATATACACCTGACATCAGCAGGAGAGGACTCTTTAAAGTAGAGACACTACATACTGATATACACCTGAACATCAGCAGGAGAGGACTCTTTAAAGTAGAGACACTACATACTGATATACACCTGAACATCAGCGGTGAGAGGACTCTTTAAAGTAGAGACACTACATACTGATATGAACCTGAACATCAGCAGGAGAGGGACTCTTTTAAAGTAGAAAATTAGCAGCATAAAGCCCCGTTAAGATAGTTACTCTATGAAAGTTTCAAACAGACATCAGTTTATCGTCAGCATATTATGAGACAGACAGTAGTCTAACTTCAGTGTATTGTGAGAACGACAGTATCCTCACCACGTCGCTGAAGATCCCCGGTCTCATGAGGTTTGTCAGCTTGGCGGCCTGGAAGACGTCGAGCGACCCTTCGACCTCCATCTGCTGAACCAGAGAGGACAGAGTGCAGAACGTCCCGGCTGTGACTCCTCCCACACTGAGGGGAAAGAAACACAGATATCTTCAGTCAGAACACAACATATGACCATGAGTACTGATCCTGACCCTTTGCGCCTGGAGCCATCAGGCTGCTTTGTGCATGAAAGCTGCTATACAAATCAAGTTTATATTATATATTATAAATATCAGAGCATTAAAAACCTGTTAAATGATATTGTACTCACTCATCGTGCACCACGGTGGGTCCGTCCTTGGCGGCGTTCTCCTCTCTCACCAGCTTCAGGAGTTCGAAGGTGTTGCTGATGGGACTGTCAGGGTTCGGCCAGCAGGAGGCGCTGTAATGTTTCACCTCCAGAGCGAAGTCATCCTGTCCAGCAGAGGTGGCAAAAGTACACACATCCTTTACTCAAGTAGAAGTACAGATACTCGTGTTTGAAAATACTCTGGTAAAAGTAGAAGTACTGACTAAACTTCTTTACTCAAGTAGAAGTACAGAGGTATGGGCCCGTCAACGCTAAGCCAATAGGAGAAGACTATGGTTGATAAAATGAGAAGCCAGCTGTTAGCCAGTCTCTTTCCCAGCCAAGGAGGTCCATCCAGTGGAGAGAGCCGCCATTTTGCAATTTCATTGTATCATTGTTTAATTAAACGCTGTTAACTTGTAAATAAGCTTCCTGGACTCTTTTCAGCTAATCCTGCTCAGAACTGAAAACCCTACAGGAACTAACCTGAGTTGCTTCCAGGACGAACTCCCGCACCACCAGCATGTCTTCGTTGGTCAGACAGATGTTGTTCTCACTCCTCTGGGAGACCGTGAACATCTGGTAGCTGATCGGGGCTCCTTTACGGGGCCAGATGGCACTCTGCTCCACATCCGCCTCCGTCTAACAACAACAACAACAACAGACAGTCAGATTCAACTGTAATCCAACCACAAACACACTCCAGGTTAGAAAGAAACGCATAGTATGTCTGAAGAAAAGTCAGTATATCAAAAGCATTTATGGTATATTTTGTGAAAAAAAGTCATAGTAAATCATATTGTATTTATTTTTTGAGTATTTATAAACGTGTTATTAAAACTAAACGCATTTTATATTTTGCAGCTGATCCGAAGCTCAGGGAGGACGCGACCCTTAATCTCAGTCCGCCCTTAAATACTAAACTATCACTATTCAACCTAAACTTGTGTTTTTGACTAAATCTGCCACTATTTTCTAAATTTATTTTAATACGATACGATAAAACTTTAATGGTCAGATCAAGTCTGAAATGCTCCTTGCATCATCATTTAACATAACGGCAGGATCAGTGAGAGGAAAGCTGCTCAAAGAGCCTTCAGCGTGCGTCTGATCTGGACTCAGCTCTGTGTTCACTGAGAGGACTGACTGGAGCACAAAGGATGCTTCAGGCTGACTTTATTGAATCTCCATTAGATGATAGCAGTTCAGATTCTCTGCTCAGAGCATGCTTTGGGTCCCAGATGATGCTGTTGGAGCCTCTCAGGTTGTTATGGTCTGCTGAGTCAGAAAGTCTCCGACAGGGTGACCAACAATCTTTGAGCAGATTTTTACCAGGTGGAGCAGTTTTGATTTTAAAGCTGTTGACAAACACTTGTACCAGGTAGCGTTACAGTATTGTAGTAATACAATTGTATATTTGGTGAAAGTTAGAGGCATATTTGTTTAATCTGAACAAAACCAATCTAACTTTTCCCTCCTTCTCCAAGTCTTTATGCCAAGCTGTGCTACGCTACGCTACGCTACGCTAGGCACTCCCTGACTGTCCTAACTGAACATCTTGCTTTAAAACGATAATTCAATATAATACATTGGCATGAATAAAGTGCATAAGTGAAACAATAAGAGATGCATTTCCCAAAACGTACTGCTTAACTCTTCCTGTTTAGATTTAAAGACTTTGAATACAGCTGAAAAATCCTTCTTCCTCACCTGGCCCGCCCCCGGCAGGGACACGATGACCGGGGCGTTGTGATCCCAAATCATCCTCCAGAAGTCCTTTATGGTGTCAGGCAAGGGATTCTGGGTAATGATGAACTCGCTGCTCTGCCTGTAACCCTGCAGGACGAGAGTCACGCTTTATTTGTGTCACTTTTATGGAGTTTAATGAAGACATTTCATTTCTGTCTACTGTTCACTGTCAAATGTCTTCATAGTGGAAATAAAGTAAGGACCAGGTACTGTACCTCATTAAAAGGTTGGAGAGCTCGTACTTTACAAGTTGTTGTACTTCTACTATAAGAAGTGCTTTTTACTCTTCCGCATTTATCTGACAACCTTAGATACTGCAGGTTCAAATGATCAATACAAAAATAATGAAGAAGACACCTGGAAGTATAACAAGTCATTACATTAAGCTCTACTTTTACAAGCTGCAAACTTAAGATGATGAAAACATGCATTTATCACTTATTAGATTATATCATTCGGAAAATTGACCATTCTGCGCGATGAGTACTTTTATATGTGGTACTTTTAGGTCAATTATGTTGTTTTTGTTGTACTCCTACTTGAATCTGAGTACCTTTTCCATCTCTGCAGGTCTGACAAAGTACTGGTGCCAATATTGCAACCAATCAAATCCATAAGAAACACATTTTATAGCTACTGGTAAAGAATCAGTACAACAACTTCTTAGGAAACACTTTTGTTTCCGTCTTAAGAGACAGGAAGGCTGTTTCAAACGTATATGTGTCTAATATCTAGTCAGAATATGTCTCTACTCCTGATATATAAGACATAATAAGTTCAGAAGTAACTCTGCAGTGAGATATCGGGTCTTGTTTTTAGACAATGCATCATCTTGTTCAGTCAGAACATCGTATTTTGAGTTGTATCTCAGGTGAGACATATCTGTTTACATATTTATTAGAAAATCACCAACTGACATCAGAACACAGAACACTTTGGAGCATTTGTGGATTCTGATTCTGGTGGAATATAGTTCAAAATGAGTTCTCCAGATGATTACAAGATCTGATTTATTTAAATATCCGTTCTTATTTCAAGAGATCTAACCAAGCACATGTTCACTTGTTCTACTGGCAGATCTTTGAACTTATTTCAAGTGAAAACAGCTTGTTTTCATTATTGTTTAACTTGTTTTTGGAGCAGCGTTTGATTCAGAGTGGGTTTATTCTTACTGTGATGTACGAAGCATTAATGTAGTCCGATGTTTCTCCAGCCAACGTGGACAGGCGCACTCGTGACCTCTCAACTGGGAAGGACAAACGTTTCAGAGTCACATACACGAGTACAAGTGGTTTAAAGGCCAAAGACTCATGAGGGAAGTCAAGGAAAGTGGTTTAAAGGTCAGAGATGGGTTCGGGTTACAGGAAGAGAGGAACATGTGTTGTCTGGGGATTCAAAATGGATGAAAGAGAAGGAGGAAAGGAATATAAAAAGGTTAGAAAAGTGTCAAAATAACTATATTTTCACAGGAAGACTAGGGGTAGAGGAATGAGAGAATCTGGTGAGGGGTATTTCCAAACATCTGGAACAAACTCCCAGAAACCTGCCGGTCCGCTGCGACTCTGACTACTCTTAAATCCAGGCTGAAGACTTTTCTGTTTGTCGCTGCCTTTAATTGAACTATTCCCATCTCATTCATGTATTCATGTTCCTGTGATATTCATGTTTTATTAGCCTAAGTCATGTCTGCTGTTTAAATGCATGTTGGACTCACCAGGAACCACAGAGCAGCTCCTGTTCTTGCAGCGGTTGAAGTCCTGCAGCGCTGCAGAGAAGTCACACTGCTTCACTGCGGAGTGACACACCAGCTGAAAACACACACAAAATAACATTACTGAGTCTTTATGATGAAATGTTAAAGATCGATCTCCTATCATGCTATTTTAGACCTATATTATGGGTCTCAGATAAATATCAATATTTAAAAAACATGTCTATGAAGTGTTTTGCTCAAAATACCAAAAAGATCGTGCATTTTAGAAATCCCTCATATCCCTCTATTCCAGCCCTGTTAGAGAAACGCTGATTCTGGGTCAGTAGCTACGAGGCCCCGCCCACTTTTGAGCATGCAGGCACACTGTGAGCTCTGGCTAAATGCTGCCGTGATGAAACACCATATCATGTTCCAAACCACATCAAGGATTCTCTCTGAAACAGTATGGAGCTCAAAGGCTTTCTCTCTTGCCGGTTATACCACAAGGTGAGTTCCTTTTTACTTCCTGCTTCTTCACACACATGCTCTCCAGTACAGGTTAGCTCTGAGTGTTAGCGATGCTAATGTAAACACCGACCATATTACGTCCAAAACAGACGGGCATTGTTTCTGATAGCAACGTTTCTGATTGGGCCGTGGGTCCACATTTCAGATATTACGTCATATCGGACGCAAATCTGGATCAGCTCCGTAGTTCCCCGTTTTTAGAGATTTGGGTACGGAGGAAAAGAGAGAGGGTTTTATTTCCTGACGCTGCATGAGTTCCCCGACTCACCGGGGACACATGTTGATGTATAAAAGACATAAGAAACTGCATTTTGCATGATAGGAGACCTTTAAAATAAATACAGAACAAGATAAAACGTCAACAGTGGTCCTAATGAAATTATCTTGAAGTAAAGCTGACCTTGAACTGTTTGTCCAGACGTGTCCTCCCTGCAGGTCCCGGGGTCAGCAGCTCGTCCATGTACCTGTGCAGGTGAGACGCCAAAACCTCCGTCTCTCCGGAGAGGACGGCCTCCACCAGGGCGTCGTGGATGAAAACATACTGCTCCTTTAGAGAGGATGTACGGTGGTGCTGAGGTTAAATACACTGACACGTCTACGTCCTACGTTTCAGAGGGGTATGGTAAGGTTTTTTTTAACATTACATTCTTTTTGTCGCTTACCATCTGTTTGCCTCATACAGCACCTCACAGAGATGCTGTATGGGAAACCAATACAAGTTTGGAAAATTGCACAATATAAATCTAGTAGACCTCAACAATGGAATTATGATCAGTAGAAATGGCCATGACCTGGGACCTTTAAGTGTGATAAGTGGAAACCAGGAGCATTGTATATTTATTTGGAAATGGTAATCTAAATTGCATAGTTACAATATAATTGTAACTTAAATTAATTAATTGTGTGTGTGTGTGTGTGTGTGTGTGTGTGTGTGTGTGTGTGTGTGTGTGTGTGTGTGTGGAAATAACCTCTGACCTCTGTCTGCACCAGGTAGTTCCTCTGTGTGCGGATGTGTTTGAGGAAGCCGGTGATGTTGACGCTGCGTTCGTCTTTTATCTGCTTCAGCAGGCTGTCCAGAACCACGTACGTTCCTGTCCGACCGACACCAGCACTGCACAGAACCAGAGAGAAGAACCAGAGAACAGAACAAGTTGAGTCCAGGATTTACAGACGTGAGGAGAAGAATGTCTAATTCACGCCGATCGTCAGAGATGGCAAAAGTACACACATTACATTGCATTTAGCTGACGCTTTTATCCAAAGCGACTTACAATAACTACATTCGACCAGGAAGATACAACCTTGAAGAAAACAGAATCATATAAGTACATCAGGTTTCATAGAGCCAAACATTTCAAGTGCTACTCAACTGGCTTTAGATAAGCCAGTCCTTTATTAGTATATAAGTGCTTTGTTAGTAATTATATCGCTCGAAGTGGAGTCGAAAGAGATGAGTTTTCAGTCTGCGCCGGAAGTCACACATCCTTTACTCAAGTAGAAGTACAGATACTCGTGTTTAAAAAGACTCTGGTGAACGTAGAAGTACTGACTAAACTTCTTTACTCAAGTGAAAGTAAAGAGGCTTTGAAATGTACTTCAGTAAAAAGTACCCATAGCTATCAGCTGCTTTAAAGACTACCTGACCTCCCTTTATATTAATAGAACAATAATGTCATTGTTAGCGAATGAATGTTTCCATGCTGAACAACGGCAACATGACAACGTTTCCATTGGTCCCTCTTCTTTAGAGAAGACCAGGAAATGATGGATACACGGATCGTGTTCAAATCAATAGGCACGCAATGACTCTAAAGAATAATGATCACGCACCAAACACACATTCAGACTAAAGGAACCAGCTGTTTGGAAAATGAGAGAAGTAGAAAGTACAGGTATTTGAGTTCAACATGTAAGAAGTAGAAAGTACAGGTATTTGAGTTCAACATGTGAGAAGTAGAAAGTACAGGTATTTGAGTTCAACATGTGAGAAGTAGAAAGTACAGGTATTTGAGTTCAACATGTGAGAAGTAGAAAGTACAAGTATTTGAGTTCAACATGTAAGAAGTAGAAAGTACAGGTATTTGTGTTCAACATGTGAGAAGTAGAAAGTACAGGTATTTGAGTTCAACATGTAAGAAGTAGAAAGTACAGGTATTTGGGTTCAACATGTAAGAAGTAGAAAGTACAGGTATTTGGGTTCAACATGTAAGAAGTAGAAATTACAGGTATTTGTGTTCAACATGTAAGAAGTAGAAAGTACAGGTATTTGAGTTCAACATGTAAGAAGTAGAAAGTACAGGTATTTGAGTTCAACATGTAAGAAGTAGAAAGTACAGGTATTTGAGTTCAACATGTAAGAAGTAGAAAGTACAGGTATTGTGTTCAACATGTAAGAAGTAGAAAGTACAGGTATTTGTGTTCACATGTAAGAAGTAGAAAGTACAGGTATTTGGTTCAACATGTAGAAGTAGAAAGTACAGGTATTTGTGTTCAACATGTAAGAAGTAGAAAGTACAGGTATTTGGGTTCAACATGTAAGAAGTAGAAAGTACAGGTATTTGTGTTCAACATGTAGAAGTAGAAAGTACAGGTATTTGGTTCAACATGTAAGAAGTAGAAAGTACAGGTATTTGGGTTCAACATGTAAGAAGTAGAAAGTACAGGTATTTGGTTCCATGGCAGAAGTAGAAAGTACAGGTATTTGAGTTCAACATGTAAGAAGTAGAAAGTACAGGTATTTGAGGTTCAACATGTAGAAGTAGAAAGTACAGGTATTGTGTTCAACATGTAAAGTAGAAAGTACAGGTATTTGAGTTCACATGTAAGAAGTAGAAAGTACAGGTATTTGGTTCAACATGTAAGAAGTAGAAAGTACAGGTATTTGTTCAACATGTAAGAAGTAGAAAGTACAGGTATTTGTGTTCAACATGTAGAAGTAGAAAGTACAGGTATTTGAGTTCAACATGTAAGAAGTAGAAAGTACGGTATTTTGTGTTCAACTGTAAGAAGTAGAAAGTACAGGTATTTGTGTTCAACATGTAGAAGTAGAAAGTACAGGTATTTGTGGTTCAACATGTAAGAAGTAGAAAGTACAGGTATTTGGTTCAACATGTAAGAAGTAGAAAGTACAGGTATTTGAGTTCAACATGTAAGAAGTAGAAAGTACAGGTATTGTGTTAACATGTAAGAAGTAGAAAGTACAGGTATTTGGTTCAACATGTAAGAAGTAGAAAGTACAGGTATTTGATTCACATGTAAGAAGTAGAAAGTACAGGTATTTGGTTCAACATGTAAGAAGTAGAAAGTACAGGTATTTGAGTTCAACATGTAGAAGTAGAAAGTACAGGGTATTTGGGTTCAAACATGTAAGAAGTAGAAGTACAGGTATTTGGGTTCAACATGTAGAAGTAGAAAGTAACAGGTATTTGGGTTCAACATGTAAGAAGTAGAAAGTACAGGTATTTGTGTTCAACATGTAAGAAGTAGAAAGTACGGTATTTGAGTTCAACATGTAAGAAGTAGAAAGTACAGGTATTTGAGTTCAACATGTAAGAGTAGAAAGTACAGGTATTGGTTCAACCATGTAAGAAGTAGAAAGTACAGGTATTTGAGTTCAACATGTAAGAAGTAGAAAGTACAGGTAATTTGGGTTCAACATGTAAGAAGTAGAAAGTAAGGTATTTGGGTTCAACATGTAAGAAGTAGAAAGTACGTATTTGTGTTCAAACATGTAAGAAGTAGAAAGTACAGGTATTTGGTGTTCAACTGTAAGAAGTAGAAAGTACAGGTGATTTGAGTTCACAGTGAAGAAGTAGAAAGTACAAGTATTTGAGTTCAACATGTAGAAGTAGAAAGTACAGGTATTTGGGTTCAACATGTGAGAAGTAGAAAGTACAGGTATTTGTGTTCAACATGTAAGAAGTAGAAAGTACATGTATTGGGTTCAACATGTAAGAAGTAGAAAGTACAGGTATTTGTGTTCAACATGTAAGAAGTAGAAAGTACAGGTATTTGAGTTCAACATGTAAGAAGTAGAAAGTACAGGTATTTGAGTTCAACATGTAAGAAGTAGAAAGTACAGGTATTTGTGTTCAACATGTAAGAAGTAGAAAGTACAGGTATTTGAGTTCAACATGTAAGAAGTAGAAAGTACTGGTATTTGAGTTCAACATGTAAGAAGTAGAAGTACAGGTATTTGGGTTCAACATGTAAGAAGTAGAAAGTACAGGTATTTGGGTTCAACATGTAAGAAGTAGAAAGTACAGGTATTTGTGTTCACACATGTAAGAAGTAGAAAGTACAGGTATTTGAGTTCAACATGTAAGAAGTAGAAAGTACAGGTATTTGAGTTCAACATGTAAGAAGTAGAAAGTACAGGTATTTGAGTTCAACATGTAAGAAGTAGAAAGTACAGGTATTTGGTTCAACATGTAAGAAGTAGAAGTACAGGTATTTGGTTCAACATGTAAGAAGTAGAAAGTACAGGTATTTGATTCAACATGTAAGAAGTAGAAAGTACAGGTATTTGGGTTCACATGTGAAGTAGAAAGTACAGGTATTTGAGTTCAACATGTAAGAAGTAGAAAGTACAGGTATTTGTTCAACATGTAAGAAGTAGAAAGTACAGGTATTTGTGTTCAACATGTAAGAAGTAGAAAGTACAGGTATTTGAGTTCAACATGTAAGAAGTAAAAGTACAGTATTTGAGTTCAACATGTAGAAGTAGAAAGTACAGGTATTTGAGTTCAACATGTAAGAAGTAGAAAGTACAGGTATTTGAGGTTCAACATGTAAGAGTAGAAAGTACAGGTATTTGGTTCAACATGTGAAATAGAAAGTACAGGTATTTGGTTCAACATGTAAGAAGTAGAAAGTACAGGTATTTGTTCAACATGTAAGAAGTAGAAGTACAGGTATTTGGTTCAACATGTAAGAAGTAGAAAGTACAGGTATTTGAGTTCAACATGTAAGAAGTAGAAAGTACAGGTATTTGTTCAACATGTAAGAAGTAGAAAGTACAGGTATTTGTTCAACATGTAAGAAGTAGAAAGTACAGGTATTTGGGTTCACATGTAAGAAGTAGAAAGTACAGGTATTTGGTTCACATGTAAGAAGGAAAGTACAGGTATTGGTTAACATGTAAGAAGTAGAAAGTACAGGTATTTGAGTTCAACATGTAAGAAGTAGAAAGTACAGGTATTTGTGTTCAACATGTAAGAAGTAGAAAGTACAGGTATTTGAGTTCAACATGTAAGAAGTAGAAAGTACAGGTAGTTGGGTTAAAAATGTAAGAAGTAGAAAGTACAGGTATTTGAGTTCAACATGTAAGAATGTAGAAGTACAGGTAATTTGTGTTCAACATGTAAGAAGTAGAAAGTACAGGTATTTGAGTTCAACATGTAAGAAGTAGAAAGTACAGGTTATTTGTGTTCAAACATGTAAGAAGATTAGAAAGTACAGGTATTTGGGTTCAACATGTAAGAAGTAGAAAGTACATGTATTTGGTGTTCAACATGGAGAAGTAGAAAAGTCACAGGTATTTGGGTTCAACATGTAAGAAGTAGAAATTACAAGGTATTTGGGTTCAACATGTAAGAAGTCAATGGTAAAAAGTCGTCGAAAAACAAGTAGTGGAGTAAAGTACTGATACCAGATAGATGTACTTAAGTACAGTAACTAAGCTTTGTACTCTCCTGCTCTGCAGATCGTCACCCTGGATTATCTCTGAAACAGTTTGGAGCTCAAAGGCTTTCTCTCTTGCCGGTTATACCATAAGGTGAGTTCCTTTTTACTTCCCGCTTCTTCACACACATGCTCTCCAGTACAGGTTAGCTCTGAGTGTTAGCGATGCTAATATAAACACCGACCATATTACGTCCAAAACAGACGGGCATTGTTTCTGATAGCAACGTTTCTGATTGGCCCGTGGGTCCACATTTCAGATATTACGTCATATCGGACGCAAATCTGGATCAGCTCGGTTGTTCCCCGTTTTTAGAGATTTGGGTACGGAGGAAAAGAGAGAGGGTTTTATTTTCTGACCCTGCGTGAGTTCCCCGACACACCGGGGACACATGTTGATGTAGAGAAGACATCAGTGTGCATCTAGACCGGGTGACGACAATACCTATTGACGCAGCAACCACTGTAAGTTATATTCTTGTTTAATTAGACTTCTCTGTTTCATTTATTCTACTCTGTATAATCGTTCTGTAGTTATTAGCTAAAACTGCGCTTTTGAGAGATTTTAAATCTCAGATCTGCTCAAGTGAACCTGTTACACAGGTCTCAGTAGGGGCACTCAAGCCTGCATTACAATATAGGCAGGGCCAGTCTGCTGTCGCCAATCAGCTGTAGAGAGTTAACTAATTAGAGGGGCGTGGCCCCACAGCTGTGAGAACTCAGCAATCAGGCGTCCATTATAGGTAGCTCTTTCCTGGAGCGTCAGACAGCCGAAGACTGACAAAGACATTGGAGTCCTGCGGGAGTAAGACTGACAAAGACATTGGAGTCCTGCTGGAGTCACGAGGGAGGCAAAGAGGAGGCAAATCCTACTCTGATTCAGCTAATTACCGCTGGTGTCTTATTTCTCTTTTCTTTAGTTTTCTAGCCCCTCATGCTATAATCATGTGTATTTTCTCCATTCCTGTTCATGTGTCTTCTCGCAATTATCACTGGCCCCGTGTATCTCCTAATAACCGGCCTGCTCTCATCTATCCCACGTGCTCCACTGAGATCCAACATCTAGTTTCAGGTGGCCTGTGGAACTGCCAGTCAGCTGTTCCTAAGGCTGACTTCATCTCTGGCTACGCCTCCCTGCAGTCTCTGGATTTCCTTGCTCTCACTGAGACCTGGATTACTCCATCCAACACATCCACCCCAGCAGCTCTCTCCACTGCATATTCCTTCTCCCATACACCCAGACCCACTGGCAGAGGAGGTGGCACTGGTCTCCTGCTCTCTCCCAAATGGAGCTTTTCCCTCTTCAAGCTACCTAACTTCACTCCTTCCACCTTTGAATTCCATGCCGTCACAGTAACCCATCCTATACAATTAACCATTGTTGTTCTCTACCGGCCACCAGGCGCCTTGGGGGACTTCTTGGAGGAATTAGATAATCTCCTCTCACACATCCCTGAAACTGGCCCTCCCGCTGTACTTCTCGGAGACTTCAACGTCCAGACGGGGAAGATAGACGAACTAACATCTCTGTTAACCGTCTTTGCTTTCTCACTGTCTCCGTCCCCACCGACTCATAAAGCTGGCAATGTCCTTGATCTCATATTCTCAAGGAACTGCGCTACTTCTAACCTCTCTGTAAACCCGCTCCACACATCCGATCACTTCTTCATTTCATTCTCTCTACCCCTTTCCAAACATAACAAACTAATCTCTTCTCATCCTGCACTTGTCCGCCGTAACCTTCGTTCCCTCTCCCCCTCTACCTTTGCCTCATCGGTGCTCTCAGCCCTCCCTTCCTCGGACTCGTTCCAACTCCTGCCTCCAAACTCTGCTGCAGAAACTCTCCTCTCTACTCTCTCATCCACTCTGGACTCTCTCTGTCCTCTCACATCTCGGCAGGCTCGTCAGTCCCCTCCTGCTCCCTGGCTAAATGATGCACTGCGTGCTAATAGAACCGTCCTTAGGGCAGCAGAGCGGAAACGGTGGAAATCCAAACACCGTGACGACCTCCTAACCTATCAAGCTCTCCTCTCCTCTTTCTCTGCTTCGATCTCTCAGGCAAAAAGCACTTTCTTTCAAGATAAGATCCAATCTTCCTATTCCAATCCCAAAAAACTATTTTCCATCTTCTCCACCCTCTTAGACCCTCCCAAAGCCCCTCCCCCCTCCTCACTTCTGTCAAGCGACTTTGTTACCCACTTTGAAAAAAAGGTTGAGGATATTCGCTCTTCTTTTTCTGACTCACCTTTACTCACCGCTGGGTCACCAGACCCTCCTTCCACCAACACACTTACCTCCTTTTCCCCTCTCTCTCCAAGTGAGGTTCTTACCCTCATTACCTCTGCCCGCCCTACCACCTGTCCTCTGGACCCTATCCCTTCAAACCTCCTTCAGACTATCGCTCCTGATATTCTACCGTTTCTCACCCATTTCATCAACACTTCTCTAACTTCTGGTCACTTTCCAAACAGTCTCAAGGAGGCAAGAGTAAACCCTCTCCTAAAGAAACCCACTCTCAACCCGTCTGATGTTATAAACTACAGGCCTGTCTCTCTCCTCCCGTTCCTGTCTAAAACACTTGAACGCGCTGTCTTTAGACAACTCTCCTGCTAACTCCATCAGAACAACCTTCTGGATCCGCACCAGTCTGGTTTCAAGGCAGGTCACTCCACAGAAACTGCTCTCATTGCTGTCACGGAGGAACTGCACACTGCCAAAACAGCATCCCTCTCCTCTGTCATCATCCTGTTGGACCTGTCTGCTGCATTCGACACGGTGAATCATCAGATCCTCCTTCGCACTCTCCAAAAACTTGGAGTTTCAGACTCTGCACTTTCCCTCCTCACCTCATACCTCAAAGACCGTACCCTAACTTGGAGAGGGTCTGAGTCCGACCCTTGTCAATTATCTACAGGGGTCCCTCAGGGCTCTGTTCTTGGTCCCCTCCTCTTTTCCCTGTACACAAACTCGCTCGGATCAGTCATTAGCCCGCATGGTTTTTCTTACCACTGCTACGCTGACGACACCCAATTAATTCTGTCCTTTCCCCGCTCAGAGACCCAGGTCGTCGCACGCATCTCTGCTTGTCTAGCTGACATCTCTCAGTGGATGTCTGCTCACCACCTCAAGCTCAACCTTGACAAGACTGAGCTGCTCTTCCTCCCGGGAAAAGATTGTCCAACTTTTGACCTGACAATCAACATCGGCACCTCTGTTGTTTCCCCGACTCAGACTGCAAGGAATCTGGGTGTGACCCTAGATAACAACCTGTCCTTCACTGCAAACATCGCTGCTGCAGATACACGCTTTACAACATCAGGAAGATGCGTCCCCAGCTGACACAGAAAGCGACGCAGGTTCTGGTCCAGGCTCACGTCATCTCACGCCTAGACTACTGCAACTCCCTCCTGGCTGGTCTACCTGCATGTGCCATCCGACCTCTGCAGCTCATCCAGAATGCAGCGGCTCGTCTGGTCTTCAACCTTCCTACATTTTCCCACACCACTCCGCTCCTCCGCTCCCTTCACTGGCTTCCGGTAACTGCTAGAATCCACTTCAAGACACTGGTACTTGCTTACCATGCTGCGAATGGATCTGGCCCTTCCTACATCCAGGACATGGTTAAACCGTACACCCCAGCGCGTGCACTACGCTCTGCATCAGCCAAACGACTCGTTGCGCCCTCGCTGCGAGGGGGACCCAAGTTCCCATCAGCAAAAACACGTGGGTTTGCTATCCTGGCTCCAAGATGGTGGAATGAGCTCCCCATTGACATCAGGACAGCAGATAGCTTACACACCTTCCAGACTGAAAACTCATCTCTTTCGACTCCACCTCGAGCGTTAGAACTATTAACAAAGCACTTATATACTAATAAAGGACTGGCTTACCTAAAGCCAGTTGAGTAGCACTTGAAATGTTTGGCTCTATGAAACCTGATGTACTTATATGATTCTGTTTTCTTCAAGGTTGTGTCTTCCTGGTCGAATGTACTTATTGTAAGTCGCTTTGGATAAAAGCGTCAGCTAAATGCAATGTAATGTAACATCAGAAAGTGCATTTTGCATGATAGGAGACCCTTAAATCCAGGATTTACAGACGTGAGGATCACAAATGATGTTTAATTTACGCCCATCGTACCTGCAGTGCACCACCAGTGGCCCCATGTCCTCCGTCCGGGCTCTGGAGGACTTTCTGACGAAGCTGAGCAGCGGCAGAGCGAAGTCCGGGACGCCCATATCGGGCCACTGGGTGTAATGGTACTGAGTCACCGTGCGCTCATTTATCCGGCCCTTCTGGGAGCCCTGCAGGTGGGTAGAAATGTTATTAAATTCAAATGTATTTATATAGCCCAATATCACAAATCACATTGGTCTCAGAGGGCTTCACAAATGATGTGATAGTGAATGATAGTGTAAAAACAACAAACCTATCTGAGAATATAGTAAAATGACAAGATAAATATGAAAATACTAATGAATGGGTACATAACACAATGACACAAATACAGTTAGAACACAATAATAAAGAAAATAAAACTCAGTGTCTTCAGTTGTGGAAAACATTCCTGCAATAACTCTCTATAACAAATCTCCTCTCTGAAGAGAAGTCTCTGCTTCATAGTTTCTCTTGGACTTAAAATCTCACTGTACATTTGACATGTATATATTCAGTTTAATATTTAATATTCCATCCTTCACATACTTATCTATATAATAATAATAATAATAAACCTAACCAGCCGTACTCAACCTAGCTTACGGTGGCTAATGTTAGCTTCAGGTAAATACGGCTGCTTAAGGTTCAAGGTTGAAGGTTAGTTTCTTTGTATAGCACATTTTAAGACACACAGGCAATTCAAAGTGCTTCACATAGGCATTTAACACATAATAATTAAAACCAAAACAAACACAAAAAAAAAAGAAGACCGTTCATAAAAGCGATAAAATACTGGCTGCAGCCAAAAGTGCAATAATAAGGCACGGTGCTTACCATCCATTGACTTGATTACTCTTCTTTACCTGTGCTACCTGATGATGAACTGAAATGGGCTGAGACTTTAATTAAGTGGATTTAAAACGTGGACTTGGTGGTTTGTCTGACCTTTTTGGCCTGTGTGTTCCTGAGGGTGAAGGTCCTCTGGGTGTAGTAGGCGAGCGCCCGGCTGCTCTTCATCGTCACCACGAAGCCTCCGTACTCCTCCTGCACCTCCACCGGCCAATACTGATCACACTTCCTCTGAGGAGACACCAACAACGCGATCAATAACCCAAATGTAACCGGTGTCTGCGTTGTTACAGCAGGAAAGAGCCAAAGGCAGCTTAATGTTACCTAGAAGCATGCATACAAAAGTATTCAAGTTAAAAAAAAGTCATAATAAAAAACGTAGCCTACGAGGAATTTGACTTGATGTCGTGGTGCATACATAAAAGTAAAACACAGATAGAGAACTAGAAAAATATAAAAAAATAATTTAAAATATAGCAGTATTTACATAGAAATGGAATGGAATCAAATATGGAATCAAAATTGGCAGTAATAAAAAAATGAACAGATATTGTTGTACATTGTAATAATATAATAATAATAATTCCTTACATTTATTATAGCGCTTTTCCAGATGCTCAAAGCGCTTTACAAATACACATTACACGTATCATACATGCAATGGTCATGTACTGTGGACAATACCCACAGGAGCAAGTTCAGGTGAAGTGTCTTGCCCAAGGACACTATCTATCTATCACACATTGTGTGCAGAGTCTATGATTCTGATGTGAAAGGAATATGACCCCTTTAAAGGTCACCTATTGTGCAAAGTACTCTTCTTCATGTCTCTTCTACATCAACATGTGTCCCCTCTTCTTCATGTCTCTTCTACATCAACATGTGTCCCCTCTTCTTCATGTCTCTCCTACATCAACATGTGTCCCCTCTTCTTCATGTCTCTTCTACATCAACATGTGTCCCCTCTTCTTCATGTCTCTTCTTCATCAACATGTGTCCCCTCTTCTTCATGTCTCTTCTACATCAACATGTGTCCCCTCTTCTTCATGTCTCTTCTACATCAACATGTGTCCCCTCTTCTTCATGTCTCTTCTACATCAACATGTGTCCCCTCTTCTTCATGTCTCTTCTACATCAACATGTGTCCCCTCTTCTTCATGTCTCTTCTACATCAACATGTGTCCCCCTCTTCTTCATGTCTCTTCTACATCAACATGTGTCCCCTCTTCTTCATGTCTCTTCTACATCAACATGTGTCCCCTCTTCTTCATGTCTCTTCTTACATCAACATGTGTCCCCTCTTCTTCATGTCTCTTCTACATCAACATGTGTCCCCTCTTCTTCATGTCTCTTCTACATCAACATGTGTCCCCTCTTCTTTCATGTCTCTTCTACATCAACATGTGTCCCCTCTTCTTCATGTCTCTTCTACATCAACATGTGTCCCCTCTTCTTCATGTCTCTTCTACATCAACATGTGTCCCCTCTTCTTCATGTCTCTTCTACATCAACATGTGTCCCCTCTTCTTCATGTCTCTTCTACATCAACATGTGTCCCCTCTTCTTCATGTCTCTTCTACATCAACATGTGTCCCCTCTTCTTCATGTCTCTTCTACATCAACATGTGTCCCTCTTCTTCATGTCTCTTCTACATCAACATGTGTCCCCTCTCTTCTTCATGTCTCTTCTACATCAACATGTGTCCCCTCTTCTTCATGTCTCTTCTACATCAACATGTGTCCCCTCTTCTTCATGTCTCTTCTACATCAACATGTGTCCCCTCTGTGGAAAGAGACTCTGAAAGTTTCAGGAACAAAGATTCTCTCTCTTTTTGATCCATTTCTATAAAAACCTGTCTGAAAATGAGCTGATCAGATCTTGGCCACTTTATGATGTCATAACGATGTTTTGTCTTTTGTAACCATTAGCCAATCAGCAACCAAGGTAACCCCCCCCCCCCCTATCACCTGAATCTCCTCCTAGAGCACTATTGAGTTCTTTGTAACCAAATCTCTCTCAGAGGGGCGTGGGGAGGGGCTCCTTATTTTCATCTAAAGTAACAGAATCAGCACTTTGGAAACAGGGCTGAAACAGAGGGGATTATGGGTAATGCTGCAATGATCTGTTTGGTGTTTCAGCCAATCAGAGACAGGCTCTGTATATATCTGAGACCTGTGAGATATTGATCAGAAACAGTATAATAGAGGACCTTTAACTCACTCTCCCTTTCTCCACCAGGTTGGTGATCATCACGATGACGCAGACGTTTTGCTCCCAGATCATCCTCCAGAAGTCCTCGGTGCTCGACCTCAGAGGACCCTGAGCGGCGATGTACGCCCGTGGCTTCTTAAAACCCTGATATAAACGAAGGTTCCAGACACAAATAATCATTTATGAAGTGCTTTGTTCTGAAATATGGGAATTCATCTTTGAAAAAGTCCTGATCAAACTCTGCACAAAGCACCAAGAAACCGCCTCGAGACTGATCTATGTCCAATGTTTACTACTGTGAAATATATATATACTTTTTCACGATTGTTATAACTGGCTGATACATGTTTTACACTGCTTAGTACTGCTAAAACATTATGCATTACATACTTTCTACTTTTGTTATACTACTAACTACTTATTCATAGTAAGAATAGACCATATTTGTTAGGTGTTATTATGGGAGAATGACTATTCTTGTGGTACTACTGCCTTATTAGGCCCATATAGATAGATAGATGGATAGATGGATGGATAGATAGATATATGGATAGATGGATAGATGGATAGATGGATAGATAGATAGATAGATAGATAGATAGATGGATGATGGATAGATGGCTAGATAGATGGATAGACAGACAGACAGACAGACAGATAGACAGACAGATAGATAGTAAGGTCACTATATTTCGAAAATAAGAGAATGTAAAACTTGTTTTAAAAGCCTTAAAAGTCAGTGGATTTTTTACGTTAAATAGAGTGAACCCGTCCAACCTGCAGACATTTCTCCTCTTGGTTTTAAATCTAAATCAAACACACACAGTTCTTTAAATCCTTGAGCTTTAACATTTGTTTAAATGGAAAAAGGAAATATATTCAACAAAACTGTTGAAGGATTCAAGGATGTAAATATAACTTCAGTTTGAGTGAAAGAGAAACTCCACAAGGCCCCTTTCAGGCAAAGAAAGAGCCTGGCAGAGGCCAACTTTCAACAACTGGCTTTAATAGTTTCACAGCCTTCACTTCAGCGAGAGAGATCCTCCTCCAGCTTTAAACAACTCTCTCACATGTACACCGTGTTATTCCTTTCACTCTCAAAACCCTGCTTTAAATGGGTTTCTAATGGTGCTGTTTAGAGCACAAAGGAGATCCTTGCAGGTCCCCGCCAACAACAGCTCGTGTCGTGAAGAGGTTGAGAATTACGCAGACGGTTGTGTTTTTATTCAAACAACGGGGAAAAGTGTCCGTGTGAATGAAGTGGGAATACAACGGCAGGTTCAGGGCGACAGTGAACGCTAGATAGATAGATAGAGAGATAGATAGATAGATACTGTAGATAGAGAAATAGATGGATAGATAGAGAAATAGATAGAGAAATAGATGGATGGATAGATGGATGGATAGAGAGATAGATAGATATATAGATGTATAGATAGTGTGTTGTTGATACAGCCTCAATCTACCACATTTTGTTCCTGTACATTTTTTATTCAACATGTATATTTTCTACTTTCTTGTTTATTTCTGAAAGGGGCGGGGTTAGCAACATTTGACCAATCACAAACATGGAGAAGCGTACTGACAGCGCAGCGTCATACTTCCTGAATGAAAAGTCAACTATAATAAGTTTAAGTTTATAATAAGTTTTTCTGTATTTCCTTTCTCCTGTAATATGACTTGATCGCTTTAAACTCCGCACACTGAGCTCTGATTGGTCAGCAGGCAGTGCTTTCACTAAGTTGATCTCTTAGCCTGCAACCTAACCTGCTCCAGAGCAGGTTAGCCGTTCAGCATAAGTTACCATGGAGATCTAGCCGCTAAAAAGTGAACCAGCGTCGTAGGACCGGAAACCCCGAGTTTTCCCTGAAGTTAGCCGGCTTCGTAGTACAGGCCTCTGAGGTCACTTAAACACCCTGTGCCCCATTGCGCCATCCAGTGCTCACAAACAACAACAAAAACATGAAAATGGGCACAACAGGATAAATAAATAAAGAGCCTTACGTCCACAAAGTTAGCGTTGATGTAATCTGTCGTCTTCCCGTCTTTGTCCGTCTGCGAAGTGAGGCGCACGCGGCTGTGGTCGTCTACAAAATTATAAATAAAATGATTCAAAAATAATATAGAAACGTGCATTAATTTAAACTAATAAACATAACAACATCGTCAACAAGAAGAACAACAAACATTCTTCTTCTGTTCAACACAATGCAATCATACAGGACATTATGCTCAATTACACAGAAACTGCACCCTTTAATAAGTTCAGTACTCGAGTAAAAGTAAAAGTACTCAGATCTTGTACTTGAGTAAAAGTAGAAGTACCAGAGTGTAAGAATACTCTCTTACAGTAAAAGTCCTGCATTCAAAATGTTACTCAAGTAAAAGTAGAAAAGTATTAGCATCAACATATAGTTAAAGTGGACCTATCATGCTATATTGGAAACATATATTGTAGGGCCATACCTATACAAAACATGTCTGTGAAGTTTTTTTTTCAAAATACCAAACAGATCCCCCATTGTAGCCACGCCTCATGCTGCTCATACCCCTCCTTTGCAGCCCTGTTAGAGAAACGCAGATTCTGGGTCCTTAGCTTGAAAAGAAAAGAGGAGGCGGAGCTAATGCCTGATCAGAATTCTACCGGAGATAAAGTTAAATTCTGCTGTGATAAAACGCCATCCTGTTCTAAACCACATCAAGGATTATTTCTGAAACAGTATGGAGCTCAAATGCTTTTTCTCTCTCAGGTTTATCACAAGGTGTGTTCTTTTTTTATTTCCTGCTTTTTAAACACATGTGCTCTACAGTACAGGTTAGCTCTGAGTGTTAGCGAGGCTAGCTAATGTAAACAAAGACGTCCAAAACACGTCAGGCATTGTTTCTGATAGCAACTTTCTGTGGGTCCGCCGACGTCACCACGGATGGAAATCTGTATCCGCTCGTTGTAGCCCCGTTTTTAAAAGATTTGGGTACGGAGGAAAAGAGAGAGGGTTTTATTTTCTGACGCTGCGTGAGTTCCCCCACGCACCGGGGACACATGGTGATGTAGAAAAGACATCACAAAGTGCATTTTGCATGATAGGTCCCCTTTAAAGTAGCGACAGTAAAAGTAGTCGTTGAGCAGATTGGTCCATTTCAGAATAATATATATGATATGTTTTATAATGATTGATCATGAAAGTGTTCTCAAAGCTGGTAAAGGTGCAGCTAGTTTGAATGGCTTTGTATACTGCAGGGTAGCTTGAGAATTACTAATATTTCATACTTTTTTTACATGCAAAGGATCAACAGAGGATGAAAACACATCCGTCATATATTTTTGCTTGTTGTAGTAAGTAATACATTATATTATATAAAAGTGTGTGTGGAGGGAACTCACAGGCCAGGATGTTGCTGTATCTGTTTTTATTTTTGTTGTCGGGATGGTTGGAGCTGTCAGTCGTCATCCCCATCTCCACCGTGCATGTCAGAACCTCCTACACACACACACACACACACACACACACACACACACACACACACACACACACACACACACACACACACACACACACACACACACACACACACACACACACACACACACACACACACACACACACACACACACACACACACACACACACACACACACACACACACACACACACACACACACACACACAAACAAAGGTTTTACAAGGCAAAGAGATGGTATTCTGTGGAACTTACAGCCCCAAAATAATTGTTTTCGATAAACCAACGCTATAAATGTCCCAAAAATACTACGTTAAGGTAAAAGTCTCAATGTCGATAAATCTCTGAATACTGAAAACACACAGAAAAAAATCTTTATTTATCATAATATCTAGATTTTCAGTAAAAGAACTGAAAAGAAAAAATCAGGATTTCAACTTTAATTAAAACATTTGGAGATTTTGAGACAAAAACCAAAACTTCTTCCACATCTCAGTCGTCGAAACAAATAATGCACTTTTGGTCAGACATACGGAAGAGGACGAGGGCCACATGTGATTTTCTTCTTTTTTTTTATCTGACCAAAAGTGGATTTTTTTATTGAGTTCTGAGAAAACAATTCAGAATTCCGAGAAAAAAGTTCTGACTTTTCTGAAAAAAACAAAACTCTTTTGGTCAGATCCCGCCCAAAAATATACATGTTGCACTTATCCTCTCCAAAGTAAAGTTAATGGCATGGATCATTTCTAATGTGAGAGAACGTGTTTTGGTCACCAGTATCCATTTCTTATGATCCCTACAGTCATTTGTTTCCACTTGTGTCACTCAGAAACCGTGCATTAGTACCTCCAGATTCCCACATTAACACTTTGCACAACGAGACGGAAACAGAGCGGTGAGAGCGAGTCTTACCTCGTAACTCTCCTTCAGAACCTAAAGACGAGGAGGCCAGACGACAACACAAACCAAAGAGGTGCAGAAATACAAATTACAAGACGACAGAGAAAACCACAAACTCATCTCACAGCACAGAACATGCTGCTAAACACAGAGAGCATCAGCGCGGATAAATACAACATACATCCAGGGGCTAAAGCACTGTGTATTTCAGTTCTTACTGCATTTTTTTTTACTTCTACTGACAATTATTATATATACATCGTTTGGCCTGAAACACAAAACTCCCAAACACATGAAGCAGGACTGCAGCATTTATTCTCCAATTTTCAACATCATTTGTTTTAACTGAGAGGCAAATGTGACCCTTTTCTTTGTTTTTGGGGTTCACATTTCTAAGTCTGAGCTAATTTCGCCAAAAAACTGGTGAAAATCAATCAATACAAATATTAAAACAGTGCTCTGCCAGGTGATTTTTGTTGTTGATATACTTGTTTATACATTAGACGAGCATTACAACTTGAAAAAAGACACTCACATGTTCACCTGGGTGAAAACAAATCTTGACCAAAAAAACTAACAAAGCAAAACCAAAATAAATACCTGGCAAAGCCTTTTTTCTCACCCGTCATAATTAATTTTTTTAACTGTTCTTAAGTCATGAATACAGGATGACTATTTAGATCAGATTTAGAAAATGTGTCACTAGAATTGATTTGTCTAACTTGCCTCTCATAGCTTCCGTACAGAAAACACTGTTATTATTGGTGATAAATCGTCAGTGTATATAGTCATATTTAAATGAAAATGAAAATTAGATTTTGATGTTTCCATGTATATATTAAAGGTTTTAAGAGATGGTATTCTGTGGAACTGCAATCATTAAATTGCTTACAGCCCCAAAATAATTGTTTTCGATAAACCAACGCTATAAATGTCCCCAAAATATTACGTTAAGGTAAAAGGGAAAAGGATAAGAGCAAGACATTCTGTTGAGAAATAAGTCTCAATGTCGAGAAATCTGAATTAAAAGAAAATCTCTGAATACTGACTTTTTTCTCAGAAACACACAAAAACAAATATTTTTTATCATAATATCTAGATTTTCAGTAAAATAACTGAAAAGAAAAAGTCAGGATTCCAACTTTAATCAAAACATTTGGAGATTTTGAGACAAAAACCAAAACTTCTTCCACTCTAATCTCGGTTGTCGAAACAAATTATGCACTTTTGGTCAGATCTACGGAAAAGGACGACGGCCAACTGCGATTTTCTTTTTTCTTATATGACCAAAAGTGGATTTTTTATTGAATTAAATAGAATCATCAAGAAACAATAATCAGGTAATGTTGCAGTCCTTCGTCAAAGTGTACCACTAACACATCATCATGCATCATGCAGACAATCACACACAACTCCCATTGAACACACACTAACACACACCAACATCAGGTGTGAGACAGTGGGGACACTGACACTTTATTGTTTCAGTTTCAGCTAGAGAATAAAAAGCAATCGTACCTCGAACTCTCTCTGGAAGCCGAGCGAGTCGTGAAGTTGGGACACGTGTTTCACAAAGTCTTTCACCGGGAAAGATGTCTGCTCGTCTGGAAGAAAAACAAAAAACACTGAACCATGAGAGGGAGAAAACGAGGGAACTAATTCCTGTTGTGGGGAACAAATACTTGCTGAAGGGAACACATACTTGCTGTAGGGAACAAATACTTGCTGAAGGGAACAAACACTTGCTGTAGGGAACAAATACTTGCTGTAGGGAACAAATACTTGCTGTGGGGAATAAATACTTGTTGTGGGGAACACATACTTGTTGTGGGGAACACATACTTGCTGTAGGGAACAAACACTTGCTGTAGGGACCAAATACTTGCTGTGGGGAACAAATACTTGCTGTGGGGAACACATACTTGCTGTAGGGAACAAATACTTGCTGTAGGGAACAAATACTTGCTGTAGGGACCAAATACTTGCTGTGGGGAACAAATATTTGCTGTTGGGAACAAATGCTTGCTGTAGGGAACAAACACTTGCTGTTGGGAACACATACTTGCTATGGGGAACAAATACTTGTTGTGGGGAACACATATTTGTTGTGGGGAACACATACTTGCTGTAGGGAACAAACACTTGTTGTGGGGAACACATACTTGTTGTGGGGAACAAATACTTGCTGTGGGGATCAAATACTTGCTGTAGGGAACAACGTGTTGTTGTGGGGAACAAATACTTGCTGTAGCGAACAAATACTTGCTGTAGGGAACAAACACTTGCTGTAGGGAACAAATACTTGCTGTAGGGATCACATACTTGCTGTGGGGAACACATATTTGCTGTAGGGAACAAACACTTGCTGTAGGGATCACACACTTGCTGTAGGGAACAAATACTTGCTGAAGGGAACTAATACTTGCTGTGGGGAACTAATACTTGCTGTGGGGAACACATACTTGCTGTAGGGAACACATACTTGCTGTAGGGAACAAACACTTGCTGTAGGGAACAAACACTTGCTGTGGGGAACACATACTTGCTGTAGGGAACAAACACTTGCTGTGGGGAACAAATACTTGCTGTGGGGAACTAATACTTGCTGTAGGGATCACACACTTGCTGTAGGGAACAAATACTTGCTGTAGGGATCACATACTTGCTGTAGGGAACACATACTTGCTGTGGGGAACACATACTTGTTGTGGGGAACAAATACTTACTATAGGGAACAAATACTTGCTGTGGGGAACAAATACTTGCTGTAGGGAGCAAACACTTGCTGTAGGGAACAAACACTTGCTGTAGGGAACACATACTTGCTGTAGGGAACATATACTTGCTGTTGGGAACAAATACTTGCTGTGGGGAACAAATACTTGCTGTGGGGAACTAATACTTGTTGTGGGGAACACATACTTGCTGTAGGGAACAAATACTTGCTGTGGGGAACAAATACTTGCTGTTGGGAACAAATACTTGCTGTAGGGAACAAATACTTGCTGTAGGGAACAAACACTTGCTGTAGGGAACACATACTTGCTGTAGGGAACAGATACTTGCTGTTGGGAACAAATACTTGCTGTAGGGAACAAACACTTGCTGTAGGGAACACATACTTAATGTAGGGAACAGATACTTGCTGTAGGGAACAGATACTTGCTGTAGGGAACACACACTTGCTAAAGGGAACACATACTTGCTGTAGGGAACACACACTTGCTGTGGGGAACACATACTTGCTGTAGGGAACAGATACTTGCTGTAGGGAACACACACTTGCTAAAGGGAACACATACTTGCTGTAGGGAACAAACACTTGCTGTGGGGAACAAATACTTGTTGTGGGGAACAAATACTTGCTGTAGACAACACACACTTGCTGTAGGGAACAATTACTTGCTGTAGGGAACAACTACTTGTTGTGGGGAACAAATACTTGTGGGAGACACATACTTGCTGTAGGGAACAAACACTTTCTGTAGGGAACACATACTTGCTGTAGGGAACAGATACTTGCTGTAGGGAACACACACTTGCTAAAGGGAACACATACTTGCTGTAGGGAACAAACACTTGCTGTGGGGAACACATACTTGCTGTAGGGAACACACACTTGCTAAAGGGAACAAATACTTGCTGTCGGGAACAAACACTTGCTGTGGGGAACAAATACTTGTTGTGAGGAACAAATACTTGCTGTAGGGAACACACACTTGCTGTAGGGAACAAATACTTGCTGTAGGGAACAATTACTTGCTGTAGGGAACAATTACTTGCTGTAGGGAACAACCACTTGTTGTGGGGAACAAATACTTGTGGGAGACACATACTTGTTGTAGGGAACACATACTTGCTGTAGGGAACACATACTTGCTGTAGGGAACACATACTTGTTGTGGGGAACACATACTTGTTGTGGAGAACACATACTTTCTGTAGGGAACAAATACTTGCTGTGGGGAACACATACTTGTTGTGGGGAACACATACTTGTTGTGGAGAACACATACTTTCTGTAGGGAACAAATACTTGTTGTGGGGAACAAACACTTTCTGTAGGGAACAAATACTTGTGGGGGACACATACTTGCTGTAGGGAACACATACTTGTTGTGGGGAACACATACTTGCTGTGGGGAACAAATACTTGCTGTGGGGAACACATACTTGCTGTGGGGAACACATACTTGCTGTGGGGAACACATACTTGCTGTGGGGAACACATACTTTCTAAAAACAGAAATAATCCAACTTGATCTGACAAGTCAACAAATGTGTGTGTGTGTGTGCCTGAGTGTGTGTGTGTCCGAGTGTGTGTGTGTGAGTGTGTGTGAGTGTGCATGTGTGTGTGCCTGAGTGTGTGTCTGAGTGTGTGTGTCTGAGTGTGTGTGTGAGTGTGTGTGTGTCTGAGTGTGTGTGTCTGAGTGTGTGTCTGAGTGTGTGTGTGTGTGTGTGTCTGAGTGTGTGTGTGTGTGTGTGTGTGTGTGTCGGAGTGTGTGTGTGTGTGTGTGTGTGTCTGAGTGTGTGTGTGAGTGTGCATGTGTGTGTGCCTGAGTGTGTGTCTGAGTGTGTGTGTCTGAGTGTGTGTCTGAGTGTGTGTGTGTGTGTGTGAGTGTGCATGTTACCAGATGCTAATACAGCTGTAGTGATGACTCTGGGTGATGAGCTGTCTTCAATGTAGAAGTGAGCCGTCTGAAAACAGGTCCTGCACACACACAAAAACAAACACACACACACACATCAACAACAGAGTGTGTTTTATTTTGAAAATCATTTTTGGTCTGTTCTGTGATTAAACAAAGCAGTCACATGTTTTATAAACATAAAGAAGTCTGGAAAGAGAAATAAACAAATAATTGTAAATAATCAAATATGTCAGGATCAACACAATGTAGGACAGGTTTAGTGTTATACATAAATACATCGAAACACTATCAGCATAGTGTAAATAAAAAACAACAACAATGACATTTCAGAATCCATGTGAGTAAATCAGATGCAGGAAACATGGCTGAGTCCTCACCTGAAAACTGAATAAAGAAATGTTTAATAACGTATCTCTATTTATCAGTAT